CGAGGCGGCCGCGTACGCCTCGGCGACCGTCTGGAGCCACTTGGTCGCCTCGGCCTCGTTGGGCAGGCGCTGCGCCGGCTCGCGCGTGATGGCCTCGAGGAGCAGCGCGTCGGTGCGGCCGGGTCCGAGGCCCCAGTTCTTGTTGGCCTGCGCCTTGATGGCCGAGAGGCCAAACCCACCGGGCATCTTGCTCGTCACCAGGCGGGCCACGAGCGCGGTCGTGTACTTGCCCAGCGTGCCGCTGTAGCCCGGCTGGAGCGCCTTGCCGAGATCCTCGATGCTGAGGTCCTCGCTGCGGTCCGGCAGCTCCGAGAACTCGAGCTGCAGGTCGCCAATGATCTCGTTTTGGAGCGTCGAGCGGCCGCCAGTCATGCTCTTGATGGTCTTGGACGAGGCGACCTCGCTCGAGGCCAGCTTCATCTTCTGTGCCAGGATGGCCTTGAGGGTGACGACGGGGTCAAGGGGAGCATCGGCCACCTCGACGGCCTCGACGGGGGCGGCAGGAGCCGCCGCGACGACCGGAGCAGCGGGTGCCGGAGCCGGAGTCGGAGCAGGCGCGGGGGAGGATGCCTTCGCAGGGCCTTCGTCGTCGGCAGCGGCCGCAGGCGCGGAGTGGACGTAGCCGATGGCATCGTGGTCCTTGCTCGAGCAAAGCATCTTGCGCTCGACGCCGAGGGTGCGGTCGCTGCGTAGGTAGCGGCCCGCCAGCGTCCGGTTGGCCATGCCCACCAGGATGGGGCCCGGGCCAAACTCGACCAGGCGGGCAAAGTTGACGTCGCGGAAGAAAATGTCCTGCGTCTCGATCCAGCGGACGGGCGAGGCAAACTGGTAGGTGAGCAGCTCGACGACGATGGTGGCCGCCAGCTCCTGGGCGCCGCCGGGCGCCGAGATCGAGTCCCAGTCGGCCAGCACGCGCTCGAGGACGGCGGAGCCGGTCTGGTCGTGGATGCGCTCGACATACTCGCGCGAGAGGGCAAAGGGCGATGCGGTGAGGTTGGGGATGTAGCGTCCCACCAGCTTGTCGGGGTGGACCATCTCGCTGCGGAGGCGCTGCTGGAGGAAGGCGCGGAAGGGCGGGATGCCGCTCTCGAGGAAGCGCGAGTGGAAGGGGACGTCGATGCCCGCCAGGGGGATGGTGGCGAGCCCGCGCTCGAGGGGCACCGAGCCGTGAGCGGCAAGACGCTTGGCCTCGGAGACGGCGTCCTCGACGAGCGCGATGACGTCGGCCGACTCGGCGTAGCTTTCGACGTTGGGACCGACGCGCTTGCCGACGCGGTCGAGCACGGAGCCCATGGCCCACAGGGCCACCTCGTGGCCGGCGACGACGCTCTGCTGCTCGGCCACGTTGAAGTTGACCGTCTGCAGCAGCTCGCCGCTGCGGCGACCGACGAGGTCGACGATTGAAGCGAGCGCGGCGTCGGGGGCCACAGGACCACCCTTGGCGAACGCCTTGGCTGCGGCGACGGCCACCATGCCGTAGCTGGAGCGGCCCTGCGAGTCGCGCGGGACGGCATTCTGCATCGTCAGGCCGCGGAAGAAGACGACATCGACGAGGTCCCTGAGCCGCATCATGCCGCCGACCGAGGCGAGGGCGGCATACTCGCCGAGCGAGTGTCCGGCAAAGGGGGCGTCGTCGACGATCAGGCCGCGGTGCTGGGCGTCGCGGAAGGCGCTCAGCTCGAACAGGACGAGCGCCACCTGGGCGAAGCGCGTGTCGAAGAGGAGGCCCTTGGGCGACTCAAAGGTGAACGAGCGCGTGGTGCGCGTGATCGAAGGGAACATGGGCCGGCGGACCGGGTTGCCGGACGAGTCGGTGGTGACGTAGTCCATGGCCATGTAGGTGCTGCGGATCCTCTGTCCGCTGGCACCGCCAAAGAAGACTGTCTTGCTCTTGGGGTTCTCGCGGACGATCTCGATGATGCTGATGCCGAGCGAGCCGTAGAGGTGCTCCTCGGCCTCGTCCCAGATGGCGCGGGCGACGTCGCTAGAGGCGTAGAGGTCCATGCCCATGCCCTGGGTCTGCGAGCCCTGGCCCGTAAAGACGTAGACGGTGGTCGGCTGCCGCACCTGGGCCTCGCCGACCAGCACCGTCTCGTCGCGCTGGTTGACGAGGCGGACGCTGATGACCTTTTCGCCGCGGCGCATCGCGACGTGGCTCAGCGTGGCCGACAGGCGGTCGCCGGGCAGCACCATGCCGGAGAATTCGGCGGTGAACGAGGTGCAGCGGGCGGGGTCGCCGTCGGCAGCGATGGCCTCGACAAAGCGGCGGGTGGCCGCCGAGGTGAACATGCCGTGGGTGATGGTGCCCGGCAGGCCGGCGAGCGAGGCAAAGTACGGGTTGACGTGGATCGGGTTGAAGTCGCCCGACGCCCGCGAGTAGGCCTCGTTGGATGCGGGCGCGTAGAAGGTGCGCACCGACTTGGCATGGCCCAGCTCGTAGGCAGTGTCGAGCGGGACCGCATCGTCGGTAGCATCGCGGCCAAAGCGGCGGACATAGTCGAGGACCGGGTTGCCGACCGAGGGGGCGTCGGCCGAGTAGTCGATGCGCGCCACCTCGACGAGGTCGCCGCCCAGCTCGGCGCGCTCCTCGAGCACGCTGCCCGTCACGTCGAGCGAGCGGAAGGTGGTCGAGTCGCGGTGCTTGGCGTCGGTGCGGAAGCGGAATCGCAGCTTGGCGCCCTGCATGGGCTCGGCGTCGGCGGTCCACTCGAGCCACTCCTTGGCCCGGAGGATGGCGAGGTCGGCGCTGCTCGAGATCGTCACGGCATAGTCGTCCTCGGACAGCTCAAAGCACCGGTCGAAGTCGGCGTAGCTGCCGCGGTAGAAGAATTCGGACGTGACGCGGAAGACGGGCTCGAACGCGGCGCCGTTGCGCTGCCTCGAGATGTCGGCCGCGACGCGGACCGTCTTGCCCGTGTCCGAGTTGCGGATGCTGACGACGCGCGCCTCGGCGATGCAGACGTCGCCGGCCTGGAGCGCCGCACCGCCTGCGCTGGTACCGAGCATGCGGAACTCGTTGCTCAGGTGGACCAGCGAGAGGAGGTCGGCATCGCAGCTGGCCACGGCCGCCTGCATGATGGCCTCCCAGCCCGCGGCGATGGCAAAGTCCATCGGCGCCTGACCTGAGGCGTACGCCTTGGAGCGGGCTCCGACGACGTCGCAGAAGCTCTTGATCGCCTCGGGCTCGAGCGCCTTGGGCTGGCTGGTGAAGGTGGCGGTCGGCGACAGCTGCGAGGCGGGCGGCATCTCGGCGTCGAACCACATCTTCCAGAAGAAGCGCTTGGTCCGGTCGTTGCGGCCCTCTTCGATCTCGTGGAGGGGCGCCCAGGGCTGGTCGGGGCGGTACGCGAAGCGGAGGTGGAGCGGGACCGCCTCGCCTAGCCGCTCCTCGAAGACGGTGACGTCGATCTCGTCGGCAGCCGACGCCGAGCGGGCCACCTCGAGCGTCTGGAAGCCTTCGTCGTGGTCGCCGTAGGATCGAGCGGCGCCGAACGCCGAGAGACGGACCGGTTCGCCGGCGGTCGACTCGGTGACCTCGACCGTCATGCCTGCGCGCGGGCGCAGGAGGCTCGCCATCGGGTTGGCGACGACGTTCTTGCCGCGGACCACGCTGCCACTGCAGAGCAGCGCGCGCAGCCATCCCGTCTCCTTGCCCGCCAGAGAGGCGAGCCAGGCCTCGACGGGGGCGGTGCGGGCACGGTCTGCCTTGAACGTCTTGACGACCGTCGAGCCAAGGGTAGCGACCTCGTGCGGAGGCAGGAGCCCGGCATGCTCAGAACGCTTTCCAAAGAGGGCGCGATCGAGGTACTCGACTTCGGGCACCCGGGAGACGTCTCCGCCGTAGAAGCGGTCGAGGACTTTGGCGATCAGGCCGGCCTCGACCGAGCCGAGCACGTCGGCGACCGGCTCGTCGACCGTCGACTGGCCTCGGACGGCGATGGGGCCCTGAAGGATGCAGACGCGCTGCGGGTCGCGGTCGACGACGGCGTCGAGGTCCTCGGCCTGCCAGAGCGAGTCCTTCTTGAACTGGGTGGCAAAGTCTTCGCCGAAGCGCGTGATGAACGGCGGCGGCTTCTGCCCAGCGCGCCAGCATAGGGCGTGGAAGAAGGCGGCGTCCTCGGCGGTGAGCTGGGTGGTCCGAGCGTGGCCGTAGAAGGCCATCAGGCGCTCGAGGCACCTGTGCGGGTCGGTGTCGAGGTCGGTGTAGCTCTGCAGGCGGTACGAGCGGCCGGCGGAGCGTGTCTCGCCGACGGGCTTGCCCGAGGCCGAGAGGGCGAACCGCTCCTCGACGCGGCGGCACCAGTCGCCGAAGAGGGTGCGGTGGCTGCGGTCGATCCAACGGGCCTGGTCGCGGACAAAGAGGAGCGAGAGCATGCGGACGCACACCTCCTCGTACGTCATGTCGGCGACGTCGAGCTGCGGCACGCCGTCCTTGTTCTGGGCGAACCACACCTTCTGGAAGTCGCGGTTGAGCCTTCCGATCAGCCGGGTCTTGTTCTTGGCGAGGTAGGCGAGCTGCTTTTCCTTGGACGGCAGCGAGAAGCACTCGCGGTCCAGCTCGGCCCACAGCATCGTGGCGCGGTTGGCGATCTGGTGGATGGGCTCGTTCATCTCGCTGTTGACTGTCAAGATGCCGCCGGTGGGCTTGTCGTAGGTGCCCTGCCACTCGGCGTCGGTGCATCCGGGCGTCTGGGCGATGAGCTGCTTGACGCCGAGCGAGGTGCCAGCCTCGCGCGCCGTCATGATGCGGCTGCCGAACAGCACGCCGTCAAACGGCATGGGCGAGGCGCCGCGCTCGACGCTCCACTCTCCGCTCAGGTAGGGCCACACGTCGTCGTCGCAGGTGAAGCCGGAGCCGGCGACCAGCACGAGGTTGGGCTGGCGGCGGATGAGGCCGTAGGAAGCCAGGATGGGCTGGTGGAAGTCCTCGGCGCTGTGGTGGCCACCCGCCCGTCCGCCAGTCCACTGGAGCAGGATGCCCATGTCCGGGTTCTGAGCGGCGATCTTGCACACCTGCTGGATGCCCGCCAGGCTTCCCGGCTTGAAGCTGACGTGGCGGATGCCAGCCTCGCGCAGCGACGTGAGAAGCTCCTCGGCCTTCTGCGGGGTTGGAATGCCGGCGGCGACACAGAAGCCCTCGAGCGGGAGTCCCTCGCGGCGCATCTGGATCCACGCCGGCAGCTGCACCGCCCACTGGCGCTGGTTGATGTAGAGCGAGTTGAGCGTCAGGCCGTGTCCGGGCTCGGTCATCGACTGGATCTCGGCCACGCGCGCACGCAGCGCCTTCTCGTTGTAGAGACCTCCGCCGGCCAGCTCGATGTGGTAGCCGGCATTGAGGACAGCGGCGTTGAGCTTGGCGCTGACCGTGGTCGGCGTCATGCCAGCGACCATGATCGGAGGGCGGCCAAGCAGGCGAGACATGGGCGTGTCGAGCAGCAGCTTGCCGGCGCTGTCGAGGGAAGGTGGAGGGGTCATCGTGGTAGCCGAGACACGAGGCAGAGGCGGGTCCGACGGTCAGCTGAAAGATCCGACAAGGTAGGGCCGGGGCCGTCCCCGGCGCGCCCGTGAGGCCGTGCGGGCGTGCGGGTGCGGATACTCACCTGGTCTTGACCAGCTTGGGCTGGAATGCGTTGTCCCATCGCGACTCGCGGGGCACGCCATCGACGCGGTAAAAGTCGGCGCTGGCCGGGTGGGTGCCGCTGACGATCATCGTGTGGATGCCACGGCCCTGAAGGTTCCTGGCAGTGATGCCGCCGATGCCAAAGAGGCCGCCCGTGCCGAAGTCGACGATGTGAGTCGCGCTCGGCGGCAGGTCGATGGCGTCTTGCCAGTGTACGGGCAGCGTCAGCAGCTGGTCGCAGAGGTTGGACACCAGGCCGTCGTCGGGCAGGCTGCGCAGGTCGCTGCCGTCGTAGGTGCTGAAGACCGGGAGTACGAGGTCTTTGGGCGACCACCTGATCGCAGCGGCCTCGATGGCGGCGGGCGCCACCCCTTCGAGGTAGGGCGCGTGGTAGGGCAGGTCGACGGGCAGGAAGCGCATCTTGAAGGTCGGCTTGCGCTTGGCCGAGGGCACCTTGGTCTGGTCGAGCTTGGGCGAGGCGCAGAGCGGGGCGAGCTCGCGGATGAGGCCCATCAGCGCGCGCGGGTCGCCCGTGAGGACGACGGTGGTGGGCCCGTTGACGAGGGAAAAGTAGATCTGGCGGTCGGCATCGAGGTAGGCGTTGCACGCCGCCACCCTCGGCTCGAGGAAGGAGCGCTCGAGGCCGTTGACGAGGAGCATGGGCGTAGGGATGTCGTGGCCCGCCTCGACGGCCTCGGCCTGCATCTCGGGCTCCACCTCGTCGCAGGCAGTGGCGCTGACGGCGTGGAAGGCGAGCTGGAAGAGGAGGTCGAGCGTGCCGACGGTGCGTCGGATGAACTCGTCGTTGCCGCCCGCGCTGGCAAACACGGTGGCGGCGATGATGCCCTGGCTGTGGCCCGAGCAGGCGGCGAAGCAGTCGCGCACCTCGGCCGTCGTCATGCCAATCGAGCGGCACGTGGCATAGTACTGGGTGAGCTGCGTGAGGAAGAGCATGGGCCCGCTGATGGGGTTGGCCGTCAGGTAGTCGGCGGGCGGGCGCTGGCCCGTGCCGTCGATCCACGAGAGCAGCCGGTACCCGTGCTGGTAGAGCGCGTGGGGCGTGCCATCGGGGCTGGCGACGCTGCGCGCCAGCTGGCAGAGGCGACCCTCAGCCGCCACCAGCAGGGGCTGGACGAGCGGGCGGTAGGTCTCGTAAAGCTCCTGAAGCTCGTCGAGGTAGCCGCGGTTGTTGCCCTGACCGCCAAAGACGGCGTAGATCTCGATCGTCTTGGCCTTGGCCTCTTCCAGCAGCCGCGGTCGCCGGAGCTGGGGCGTAAAGTGGCCGGCCTCGAGGGCGGCGTAGGCCTCAAAGTAGGCTCGCAGCAGCTGCTGGCGGCGTTCGAGCCCGAGCGAGAGGGCAAAGCTGTGGATGTCGGCGCTCGGGCCGAGAAACTCGGAGTGGAACTGATTCCACGAGGCCCAGAGCAGCGAGAGCTCCGAGGCGAACCCGCGGCCCTGGTCGTTGCCGGCGGCGATGCGCTCGGCCAGGAAGCGCAGGAAGCTGGCCAGGAAGAGGGCCTGGTCGGCCGAGGTCGCCTTTGACTGCTCGGCCTCGGCCTCAGCCGGAGCCGGGGCGGCGTCGGACTCGGCGCTTGCTGCGGCGAGAAGGTGACGCTCGAAGTCGGCCTTGATTGACTCGAGGGCAAAGTAGTTGACCGAGGCGCTGGGGTCGATGGGGATGTTGAGGTCAAAGTTGGCCTTGTGCGAGCGGATGCGGACGGTGCTGAGGGCGCTCGAGACGCTGGTGGCGAGCTCCGAGTGCAGGTCGTCGGATCCCATCTGGGAGAAGGCGGGCGAGACCGAGACCTCGGTGTCGCGGGGAGATCCGTGTCGAAGGGGAGAGGCCGCCATTGTGAAAAAGGATAAGGGTGAGGTGATTGCGATGTGCCTGGAGTGCGACAAGGAAAGAGAGCCAAAGAGAGATCGGAAGAAGGGTATAGCAGATGGTCCGATGACAAGTGTGGTGCGCGGCGTGGGTCGAAGCGGTAGGGGCAAGGCAGAAGAAATGCGGCCGCAGGTGACGAGCGTGGTTCGGATGCGTTGTTGATGGTTGGAACTCCGTCGATGTAGAAGCTGGGCTGTACCTGGCAGCAGCAGCAGTGGATGGCGTTGTGATTGGTGGCGGAGTGGGGGAAGGCAGGTTTAGAAGGCGGGGAGGTGGCCGATGAGCGGGGTGTGGCGCATCTTATACAGGACAGCAATGGAGTGGCGCGCTCGTGAGGGGATACGGGGCAGCGATGGCAGGCATCGCGTCGCAATCCTCTGCTCGCTGAGCAGTATCTCGGGGCGAGAGGGGGCTCTCTGATGCTGAGGAACGGCCGCCGCGCCGTTTCGACCCCCAGGGTGCGAGGACTTTGCATGCTGTCAAAGACTGGCCCTGGTGCATCGCAAAGCGTGGCATGCTCATCCTGGTCAGAGGGGAAGACGGCTGGAGAGAGCGGGGCTGGGAAGGATCAGTAGTATGGCGCAGGACCGTCTGAAGCTCGTAGGTCGAGGAGCGATGGCGTGCGGACCGCTCCGCCACGACGCCGTTCGCGCAGGCCGGTACCTCGGGCAGGCCATCGAGGTGCAGCGCCCGGGCAGATGTAGCATGCGCTTCCGATGCAAGTGGGTCGGCCGGCCGACCAGTCGGCCAGCCAGCCAGCCAGCCAGCCAGCCAACCAGCGGTGTGGTATCGATGAATGCAAGACGATGCGCGAAAGGGTTCGTGAGGGTCGACCACGAAGGTTGTCCGGGTTGCTGAGGGGGGCAGCCCGCCCACGCCGCGTGGTGGTGGCAAGAGGGAAGCGTGAGGTGGCAAAGGACGCTATGCGCTCGTCTGCTCGCCTCTGGGCTGGCGGCGCAGCCTGCTGCCCTGCTGCCCTGCTGGCTTCCTGGCCCGCAAGCGTGCCCTGCCTGCCAGCTGTCCAGCAAGGCCCAACGCCCACGACCACGGCCAGCGCATAGCACCCTCGGCCTTCGGGCGGGCTAGATCGGGATTTTCTCAAACCGAATCGGGAAGTGGCCCTCAACCACTCCCCCTCATGACGCAGCCTCAAGCTCAGGCGAGCGACGCAGGGGCCTGGAAAAACGCCCGTGTCATCGCTGAAGCTACCGAGACTGAAGGGAAGCGTAGCCTCTTTTGACCTGAGTGCTGCTCAAAGGTGATCTGATGAATGCGCCGGAGGACGGGGCGACGACGTCGACGAGCTGGTGAGTCTGGGCCGGAAAAGGTCAGATCGGGCGCGCCCGATCGGATGCGCGCGAGGCGCGGCTGGCTGCGCTGGCTGGCCCCCCTTTCGAAAATCCGACATGCGTGCGGTGGCGGCGAGGCGCGTCTGGCAGCCGTGCGCAGCTTGCTCGCCTCGCCTCTTCCACCACCCACGCGCTGCGCCACCGCCGACGAGGACCCGTACACGGGCAAGCATCAACACACACAAGCAGCTCGAGGCCGCGACGTGGCCCGCCATCCCGCAGGAAAGCCTGCCCCTGCCCCCTTCGCCAGGAACGTGGCAAACGACCGGCAGCCGCGTGGACGCTCTCGGCGGCGACGGCGCTGGACTCTCGGACAAGGCACGCCGCGACATGGCGGGGAACGGCATTTCACCTTTGACGATTCGCGCTCCTTCGCTCGCTTATCTTCCATCATGACGGCAGCAGCAACCTTGTTCCCCCGAGGCTGTCGGCATCACGCCGTCCGACGCCTGGCCATGCCCGTCTACCCCCATGCTCGCAGCCCGTCGGCGGCTCTCGGTCGCCTTGCCGTTCCCTTTAAAGGTCGCTCCTGTCGGCGGACCGGCGCGTGGACGTGGTCGCATCGTCTTAGACATGGCCCCCATCCCAACCTCCCCTCCTTTGGCTCTCCCTCAGCTCCCTCGTCTCTGATCCCTCCCCTCGACATCCGCCCCCAGCAGCCACCGCACTCGCGAGGATGACGCTCACCGGGAAGGTCTCCGGCGTGCGGCCCGACACTTCGTCGTCGGCTGCCACGGGCACGACGGCAGCAACCGACCGGTCCGACGCCTCCAAGTCGTGCGCCGTCTCGATTGTGTCCGATGATGGCCCGGAAGGCCCGCCCAGCGCGACGCGAGGCGAGCAGGCCGAAACCACTCCTGCCGCCACCTCCTCCCCTGTTTCGAGCAAAGCATCCTTTAGCCAGATCTTTGCCTTTGCCGACGGCCGTCTGGCCTTGCTCAACATCATCGGCCTCCTCGCTGCCGCAGCTGCCGGCGTGGCCCAGCCTCTAATGACCAGTGAGTTCACCAGCCAGCTGGCCTTGAAGCAGCAGGCATCCCAAGTCGCCTGACCTCGTCTGCCCGTCCTCTTGACCCCTGCTTCTCGCGCCCGTGCCATCGGTCCACTCACTGCCCTAGTCTTCATCGGGCGCATCTCGACCTCGTTTCTGCGCTACTCGAACGCCTTCTTCGACCACGACCTCGACATCTTCCACGTGGCCCAGAAGCAGCTCTACCACGACATCCGACAGGACTCGCTCATCCTCGTCTACCTCGGCATCGCCATCTTTGCTGCGGTGAGTGCGGCGACGTCGAGGTCTCACACGGCGGCAGCGAGGGTCCTGCATGCTGACCTTGCAATGCTCCGCGCCGTCTTGTTGCGTCGTCCCGCTGCCGCCGCTGCTACTAGTCGTACATCTGTGAGCGCCTTCTTCCATCCCGCGTCGCCCAGTCCAGCTCTCCTGCCTCGCCGCTGACACGCTGTGGCTCCTCCCTTTTCTGCCTCGACGCCGTACAGACATGGCTGCCTGGTCCTACACCAGCGAGAAGATCTGCTGCCGGATCCGCGAGGCCTACCTACGGTCCACGCTGCAGCAGGAGATTGCCTATTTCGACGAGTATGGCCCGGGCCAGCTCGCCTCGCATATCCGCTCCGACGTCCACACCATCCAGAGCGCCATCAATGAGAAGATGCCCATGACGTTGAGTGAGTGCACGCCCAGGCTGCTGCGGCGAAAGTCCGGTCCTCTCCCCGTGGTATGCTTGCTCATCCCCGCCTCTTCGCCCCATCGCGCCCGACAGTGTACGTCTCGACCTTTGTCGCCTCGGTCGCCGTCGCGTTCAGCCAGTCGTGGAAGCTGTCGCTGGTGCTGCTGCCCATCGCACCCACCATCCTCGTGGCGGGCGGCGTCATGAGCGTCCTCACCAAGGCCGCCAAACAGACCGAGCTCGCCAGCACGTCCAAGGGCGCCAACCGCGCCGAGGAGGCGTGCCGCTCGATCCGCACCGTCAAGGCGTTTGGCAAGGAAGCCGCCATGCTTGAGCAGTACGACCGCTGCAACGAGGAGACGACGCTCCAGGGCGCCAAAATCGGCAAGCTGCAGGGCATCGGCGTCGGCTCGCTCATGTGGACGATCTACTCGGGCTACGCCCTGGCCTTCTGGTACGGAAGCAAGCTGATCGGGCAAGGCGAGCTGAGCCCTGGACGCATCATTTCAGTCATCTTTTCCAACTTTATCGGCGCCTTTGCGATCGCCACCATCTTCCCCAACCTCGAGTACTTTTCGGCGGCGCTGGCTGCGGCGGGGCCTGTGCTGGCAGCAATCCACCGCAAGCCGAGGCTCTCCGAGGCTGGCAGCGACGACGGACTAGAGCCCAAGTCGGTGGCCGGTCGCGTCGAGCTCGAAGGTGTGTCGTTTGCCTACCCGTCGCGACCGGACGTGTCAATCCTGCGCAGCCTGTCGCTCTCGTTCGAGGACGGCAAGACGACGGCGCTGGTCGGCGCATCGGGGTGCGGCAAGAGCACCGTCATCGCCCTGCTGGAGCGCTTCTACGAGCCGACGGCCGGCCGCGTCACGCTCGACGGCATCGACATCCGGCACCTGCGGCTGTCGTGGCTGCGCGACCAGGTCGGGCTGGTGAGCCAGGAGCCCACGCTGTTTGCCACCACGATCCGCGCCAACATCGAGTTCGGCCTGACCAAGTGCGACTACAACGACCGCCTCACTGACGACGAGCGCTTCCACCTAGTCGTCGAGGCCTCCAAGAAGGCCAACGCCCACGACTTTATCATGGCCCTGCCCGACGGCTACGCTACTCTGGTCGGCGACAACGGCTCCCTGCTTTCCGGTGGCCAGAAGCAGCGCATCGCCATCGCCCGCGCGCTGGTCAAGGATCCTCGGGTGCTGCTGCTCGACGAGGTGACCAGCGCGCTCGACACGGCGAGCGAGGCCGTCGTCCAGGCGGCCCTCGACGCGGCTCGTTTTGGCAGGTGAGCGGCATCGCAGGTGCAGATCGGTCGACAAGTCTAGCCAACGACCCGCCGCTGACACTGTACCATCACGTTTCTTTCCCTCGACGCCCGCCTGCTGCCAGGACCACCATCGTTGTGTCTCACCGCCTCAGCACTGTCAAGAACGCAGATCGCATCGTCGTCCTGGGCCGCGACGGCGTCATCGAACAGGGCTCTCACGACGAACTGATGAGCAAGGCCGGCGGCGCCTACGCTACCATGGTCGGCCAGCAGGCGCTGTCCAAGCCGGTTCCTGTCGAGGCGGATCCAGACTCTGTCCAATCAGTTGTCGATGGCCGCACCAGCCTCCAGGCTCCCCTCAAGACGGCGCTCGGCACCTTCTCGCTCGGCCGCATTGCCGCGTCCTTTGAACTGCCGAGGATGTCGGACTTTGTGCAGAACGGCCGACCCAGCATCTCGGTGCTCCGGCGCAAGAGCTCCGGCGGCGAGGTGCCGACCGTATACGAGGACGACGATGAAGATCAGGAGAGCTCGAAATCTCGACGGGAGTCCAAGCCCGGCCTGCGCGCCCTCGCCGGGCTGGTGCTTCGGGGCGAGCGCAACAAGCGCCTGCACCTCGAGTTCCTCGTCGGCCTCGTCGCGGCCAGCGTCATTGGCGCCATCTACCCCATCTACTCTATCGTCTTCGGCATCGCGATGGACAACTTCACGCAGTGCAACGACGCCGGCCCCTGCTTTGCGCCGATCCGCGACAACATGCTGCACCAGGGGCGGATCAATGCCGGCGCGTTCTTCGTCATCGCGTGCGGCGCCGCCGTCATCAGTTTCCTCCAGGTCAGCACTCTGACGCGCGCCGGGTCGAGCGTGGTGCAGCGGGTGCGCCACCTGATGTTTGAGCGGTACCTGCGCTCCGACGTCGCCTTCTTCGACCACCCGGACCACTCTGGCGGCGCACTGTCGAGCCGGCTGACGGACAACGCGCAGAAGATCTATGGCGCCCTGGGCCCGACGCTCGGGGTCGTGGTGCAGTGCACGACCACGATGGTGGTCGGCTATGTCGTCGCCCTCTCCTATGGCTGGAGGCTGGCGCTCGTCGTCATCGCAGTCTCGCCGCTGACGCTGTCAGCGGGCCTGCTGCGCCTGCGCATCATTGCGCACAAGGACGAAAAGACGCGCACGGTCCACGAGACCGCCACGCGCCACGCCAGCGAGGCCGTCGGGGCCATCCGCACCGTGGCCGCATATAACCTCGAGCACGCCTGTCTCGACCTCTACCGCCAACACCTGGACGGACCCGCATCGACCCTGGTTAACTCCATCCTGAGGAGCAGCATCCTCTTTGCCCTCTCGCAGTCCATCACCCTCTTCGCCATCGCCATCGCCTTCTACTACGGAGGGAAGCTGCTTGCGGACGGACACCTGACCAGCAAGTCGTTCTTCACCGTCCTCATGTCAGTCGTCTATGGCAGCGTCCAGGCCGGCAATGTCTTCAATTACACAGCCGATCTCTCTGGAGCTTACGCCGCCGCGCGTGCCACCATGGAGCTGATGGAGACCGACCCGACCATCGAGCGGGACACGGAGCGGGGCAAGGAGCTTTCGGATGTGCAGGGCGGGCTGCAGCTTCGCAACGTCTATTTCACCTACCCGTCGCGGCCCAATGCGCCAATCCTGCGCGGCATCTCGCTCGACTTTGAGCCGGGCACCTTTTGCGCCCTCGTCGGATCCAGCGGATGCGGCAAAGTGAGTTGCCGGCGGCAGAGAGACCACGCTGACCGAGGACTCTGGCAACTGACCGCCCTCGTTTGACCGTCTACTCGACGCGCTTGCTCCTCAGTCTACGATCCTGCAGCTCCTGGAGCGGTTCCACGACCCGACGGGTGGTCAGATCCTGCTCGATGGCTGCGACACGCGCTCGGTCAACCTCGCCTCGCTGCGCCGCCACATTTCCATGGTGCCGCAAGACGCTGTCCGTGGGTGTCCATGCCAAAATGAAGCGGCCCTCCTGGCCTAGCGCAGCTAGCAATCTCGACATGAGCTGACCTCTGCGTGCCCACCATCGCCTCTCCTTGACCCCGCGTGCTCTGCAGTCTACGACGGCACCATCGGCTGGAACATTGCGCTGGGAAGCGTCGATGACCCCTCGTCGGTGACGATGCCGGCGATCCGCCGAGCCGCCGACATCGCGCAGCTGACGGCCTTCATCGATTCGCTACCGGACGGCTTCAACACGCACGTGAGCGGGCGAGGCGTTCAGCTATCGGGCGGGCAGAAGCAGCGGATCGCGATCGCGCGCGCCATGGTGCGCGAACCCAAGATCCTGCTCCTCGACGAAGCCACGAGCGCGCTGGACCCCATCGGCGAGAGGGAGGTGCAGGCCGCGCTGGAAAAGGCGAGCGAGGGCCGCACCACGATCGCCGTGGCGCACCGCCTTTCGACGATCGCCAAGGCGGATACCATCTACGTGCTCAAGGACGGCGACGTGGCCGAAAAGGGCGATGCCAAGACCCTCACGGACCGCGGCGGCATCTATGCCGAGATGGTGCGCGTGCAAAACGTCGCGTGATTTGGGGGCTCGTGATGGGCCAAGTTGTTTGTTCATAGACCTTTTTCGTGGCAATCTCATCAGCGGTTTCCCTTCCTCGCCCTTCAGGTGCCGTCGTCGTGGTTGGCGTGCTTGCCAACTGTCCGTGTGTGGCAAATTAGCTCTGTCGCCGACGAGGATGGGGAAAGGCGGACACGGCCGTGCCTGTCTTTCGACACAGGGTGTGTCTGAGGGAAGCATGTTCCTGCCTCTGTGGGGCGAGGCAGCGCGTGAAAAGCAGAGGAGAGGAAGAGGAGAGGAGGGCGACACGTGGCGCATCTCGACGAAGGGCATAGCATCATTGCGCAAGGGGCGCGAGGCCGGGCAGGGCATGTCGACTTGCGCCCCGGCCCAGATGCGCGCGGTCAATGTTCCGATGGAGGGAGAGGGGGTCGTATCGGTGCATGCGCATACTGAACGTCGCTCCTCTCCGCTGTTGATCCTCTCCGCTGTTGATCCGCCCTGTGCGACATCGTACCGGTCTCTAGATGACGGCGTGGCGGGATGAGGGTCGAGCGTTGGTCGGTCTCGCTTTCTTGTATATAGGAACCTCTAGCCCTCTGGCCCAGACGAGGTTCGATCAGGCATGTTCCACGTCCGACGCCCACTATCGTTCCTCCCTCTCGGCGACCACGTACACCATCCTGGCACTCGACCACGACAACAAGGCACCACGACAACAAGGCATCACGACAACAAGGCGCGACAACAATGACGAAGCAAGAGATCCTCATGGTTTCGTGGCCAGCCATCGGGCACGCGCGGCCGATGCTCGACTTTGGGCTGTCGCTGCTGAGCGACTACCCGAGCGTGGAGCTGACGTTCATCTGTTCCGAGCATCAGATTGCCTCTCTGCGCAAGCTCGACGGACGGGCGGGCACGCACCCGCGTCTGCATCTGCGCGGCATCGAGGTCGCCTACCAGACTCCCACCGAGGGCGGGGGCAGCGAGGTGGAGCCCGAGGTGATCCTAACGATGCAGGCCGCGCACGCACTCTCGACCCAGTTCCCCGCCCTCTACTCGTCCCTCCCGCACCCACCCTCGCTGGTGATCTGCAACTGGATGATCCAGCGCGTCGCCGATGTTGTGCGCACCTCGACGCCCCAGACGAAGCTCATGGCCTTCTTCGACAACGCCGCCACCTTTGTTACGCGCATGCTCGGCCCCGTCGACATCGGCGGGTACGGCGGCGTGCAGCAGCTATGGCTGCGCCATTGCGAAGAGAACCCGCACGTCGACCGCGATGACCTCCAGCTCAAGGAGAAGCTTCTTGGCCGTCGATCCGAGGGCACCTTTCAGATTCCCGGATCGGGCATCGACAGGATGAACGACCGCGAGATGTCGCCCCAGGCAAAGGACGTGAGTGTCGGCCCCTCGTTGCCCCCCGGGAGATCAATTAAAAGGGCGCCGGACAGCGAAGACCTTTCTTTGACCTGGCTCGGGAGTCCTGACCGCTTGCCGCTGCCTTCCTCGACTCTCGGCCGCACAGTATCTGCTCAAGGTGCCCATCACGCCGCCGCTCGTCGAGATCCAGCGCCTGGTGGAGCTGAGCGACGCCATCCTCATCAACACGCACGAGAGCGTCGAGGGCAACGTGCTCGCGTACCTGCGCAGCGTCATCAACAAGGAAATCTACGCCATCGGCAGCGTCATGTTCCGCAGCCTCTTCGAGGTGGGCAAGACGGTCCGTGCCGCCGCCGCCAAGGCCTCGAGCACGATTGAAGCAAAGAATGCCGGCAATGGGGCCGACGCCGACGACGACGACGTGATGCAGTTCCTGCACAGCCAGCCGCGCGGGTCGGTGCTCTACATTTCGTTCGGAACCATGTTCCGGCCCACACCGGCGCAGCTCGTCAAGATGCTCGAGATCCTGGTCGAAGAGGCGCCGGACCTCTCGTTTGTCTGGACGCTCGGGAGCGGCAAGGACCTGATCGCGTCGTGCCCGCCCGACGAGAGGCAGCGGGTGCGCGATCTGCAGTCGAAGCTGCTGCGCTCCGGGCGCGGCCGGCTGGTCGACTGGGCCGATCAGCACGCCATCCTTCAGCACCCCGCGACCGGATTCTTCCTCAGCCACGGCGGCTGGAACAGCTGCCAGGAGTCGCTGCTGGCGGGCAAGCCGCTGCTCGTCTTTCCCTTTTTCGGCGACCAGCTCTTTGACGCCTACCTGCTCAAGAGCCGCGGCGTCGCGTATCACATCCAGTCGAGCCGTTTCGACTCGCCCGAGGCGTTCCTCGAGAGCTACCGGTACGCGCTCGGGCTGTGCGGTGCGGGCAACGAGGACGGAGAGAGGCTCAAGCGCAACGCCGAGGCGATGCTGGAGCGCATCCTGCACGAGAGGGACGAGGTGGTGCGCGAGAGCGAAAAGAGGCAGCAGGCGGTCTGGAGGAGCCTGTTTGTCGATGCGGGCGAGGAGAGGGTGATGGAGGCCGTCGGCGGCGAGCGCTCCATCAAGGCGTGAGAGGGTATCGCACCGGGCCTTTGTCGATTCGGTCAGGGTGGTGCTGTTCGCTTGTATCTTGGCTTTTTTCCTGGTGTCTTGAGAATGTACATGTCTCCTTTCACGATCGGACGTTTCTTAGGCTGGTTGGCGCCCGGCGCAAAGGGCAGTCCTGATTGCCGCCGTGAGAGGGTTCCGAGGTGATGCTGTTTCGCCGAGGCGGAGGTGCTCGATCGGGCGCCGCCTTGGCCCATGGTCGGATCAAGCTGAATGCCGGATAGCGTAGGTGCCATGAATGGAAGCGTGACGGGCTGCGTGGAGAAGCATGTTGGCTCTCGAGGTCGAGGTCGAGGTCGAGGTCGAAGTCGAAGTCGAAGTCGGAGGCCGATGGCTGAGCCTGACATGCACGCCGGCGAGCCGAGGCTGCCCAACTGCGCGCGCTTCTGCGCCTGCCTTTTGCCCCGCCGGTTGGCCAAACGACGGCACTCGGCCGACAGCGAGCATGGCGCATTCCAGCTTCGTGGCCCGCACCTCGACTCTGGGCCGCCCGTCATGGCAGCCGATGCATGGCCGCCAGATTCTTTGCCATCCCCCGTTCTGACCTCGATGCAGGATATGCGCAGCTTCGGATCCAGCGTTGTACCGACCGCCGGCGGCTGACCGGCACCTAGAGCGCGGGGCATGCTCTATGCCCTCGACATACTCGCTCCTCTTCCCCTCTTGGCCCAGCAGTCGAGGGCTGCGACTGCCACCACCGCGACCGAAGGCTCAGATGAGGATGATCGTACCTACACTCGGTCCATCTCCACCATATAAGGTGCCAGCTGCCTTTCCATCGACGCTCGCCACCACCGCATCAACTCGCCCCGTCGCAACTTCTGCTGCACAAGGTTCGTCCTACCACCAGCATCAACGTCACAAGCATCCCCTCGCAAACATCCCACCGCGAACCAGACTCTTCCAGATAAAATGTCATCGGCCGCCTCTGCCTCCTCGCCGCCGGCACCTCGCGTGCCAGCGCGCAATCTCAAGATCAAGGTGCAGCAAAAGCTCTGCGTGCTGCCTGCTCCCGCCTCGCCCGCGCCCGCCATCACCCTGACGGGCCAGGACCTGAGCATGGCCAAGATCTACATGCACATGCACTACATCTTCTCTCCTTCCTCCTCGCCATACGGGCTCTCGGAGCTCGCCAACGACATCGAGAACGCACTCTCCCTGACCCTGGACGAGTTCCCCTACATCGCCGGATCCATCGATCGAGTCGATGACAAGTGGATCTTGCAGGACAGCCGCAAGGGCGTCGAATTGCAGATCGCACAGGCGGAAGAGGAGGCTGGTGGCCTGTCGCCGCAGGAGATTGGGGGAAGCTGGGATCAGGATGTCGGGACGAGGGCACCCTTTGTTGGCGAGGATGAGGCGCTGGTGGCCATCCGGGTGACGAGGGTGAGTCGGCCCTCCCAGTTCGAGCGCTGTGCACTCGCTGAGGGCTCACATAGCACGCCATTGCCTCTCCTTACCGAACAACGAACAGTACGCCTGCGGCACAGTCTCAATCACGACGAGCGTTCATCACTGGCTCATGGACTTTGCCAGCTACTTTGACTTCCTCTCGACCTTCGCCTCTCGCCTCACGAGTCCCGCCGCCGCTGCCACTTTGCAGGAGCAGAAGCCAAAGCGCAACTTTGAGCGAGACGTCTTCTCGCTCCTGTCGTCTCCCGGTGGCGAGGAGGCCGATTCCGCGCCTGCGGCGACAACGACGACCGAAGAGGACGACGCCGAGGTGCGCTCGTGGTTCCGCGCCTCGGCCGCGCCGCCGTGCTTCAAGCGGCCCGTCAACCACACATATGTCGTTCCCGTCCTCTTTACGGCATCGAAGTTGGGCGAGCTCAAGGCGCACCTTGTCCAGGCCGCCTCGGCGAGCGGGACGACGACGCCGACGTTCTCGACGATGGACGCCCTCCACGCCCTGCTGTGGTCGTCGATCACGCGCAGCCGCGACCTGGCCGCGCCGGCCTCGACCAAGCTCCTCGTCACCATGGACGGACGCCGCCGCGTCGCAAACGGCGAGCTGGCCGCCGAGTACTTCGGCAACGTCCACCCCGGCTTCGCCTTCCGCCTCGACGTCGCATCGCAGGACCTCTCTTCCGCCGAGTCCCTCGCGGCCACGGCGCAGAAGCTGCGATCCGAGTACCTGGCCAACATCGGACCGCAGACGATGGAGAGGATCATCCGGTACCAGCAGCGCAACCTCGACCGCGTCTCGACCAACATCGACGCCATGTTCGCCAACGACGTTGTCATCTCCAACCTCTCCGGCTACGAGTACGGCCGCGTCTCGTTTGGCAGGCTCGGTCGGCCCCGGGCCGTCACGATGCTCGGGAGCAGGGGCGTCGAGTATGGTCCGTTCAAGATCGACGCTGCCGACGGTACCGTCACCGTCCTGGCTGTGCCCGAGCAGCAGCAGAAAGCGCCGGACGGGGAGGAGCGGGAGGGATCGGGGGCGAAGAGGAGCGATGTGATTGCCTACATCGGTCTGAGGCAGGAGGAAATGGCGCGCCTCCTCGCCGACAAGGAGATCGCAAAGTGGGGTGAGGTGCTGTACTAGACGGCAGCTGCTCCGCTGGCTCCGAAACCAAACCCATCGAAGGCCTAGTCACCTGATTTTTGAGGTTGTCGAGGGTTCGTGCAAGTCGCCGGCGCTACGGTCAAACAGTCGACGCCCTCTGGCGGCCATTCGGCGTCGTATCCAGGCCACATTGAAGGCGAACTACTCAACGCCGCAAAAGAGATGGCGTACATCCTGCACCGAGCAAATGTACGCCAACGGGAGTGGGGGAACCGAGAAAAAGATGCAGATGTTACATACTCTTCTGCAGCTCTGCTTCGTCTACATATCTCCCTGAGGTGTGCGAGTGAAGCGGCAGGTGCAGACGAGTCTCCAACTCCGAGTGACCTGGGCCTCCGAACCCCAACATAGCTGGCTAATGGCAGCTGGCTAATGGCAGCCGCCCGGCGAGAGGCGTGCGCGAGAATCGTACAAGAACCCCCGGGCTGGGCCGCCCTTGTTCCCTTCGTCTCTCACGCCTCACTTCATCCCCTCTCCGAGTACTCGTACAGGTATCAACTGCAACACTCCCGCTCAGTCTCGACATTCCAAGACTCCGAAGAAAGAACTGCAAGGATGGTCAAGTTCGTCGCCGCCGCAGCAGCTTTGGTCGCCGTCGTCCTGGCCGTGTCGGCCTCGGCGGCCCCAGTCCAGCCGCTCGTCTTCCACTGGACGAATGGGAAACCTACCAAGTTCACCGATCCTACCAAGCCGCCTCCGAGGAGTTACTTCGGACCCAAAGATCGTTACCCTCCTCGCGTTCTCACTGACAAGTAGAGTGACAAGTAGAGGAGACGTTGGGGGTCATCATCTAACATGGCCTATTGCTCTTCGCCTAAGGTACCCTCTTTCCTACGCCCATCATCGGATCAAGCTGGTCTCGGAAGATGATCTCGAGCGTAGCATAAGGGGCCTCGTCCTTAACCCACATCGTATCAAGTCCCCGAACGTGGGCGACTAGGCTAGCCTGTCAGCCGTGCCTTTCTTTACGCCCACCTCTCCCCAGAAGCGCTCATTTGATCCCCTTCCATCTCCTCGCCGCCACGGACGTTGCCTTTCCTTGCACGATGTTTCGCGCGACGTCTACCACTCTCGTTCTATCTCTGCGCTGCCCCTGGACTGGTTCCGAAAGTGTCTTTCCGAAACGCAGATCTTCTCCTCGACCCCTTTTGTGTGCCGGTACGAGAACGTCTGACCCAATCGCTGCCCGAATGCGAGTGCGGGAGGCGACATGGTCACAAGCCGATTGCATCACGCCCGTTGCGGACAAATGTGGGGCGCCTGCAGACGTTAGCGTGAGGTGGGTTCTCCTTGCCGGAACCGCATCCGAGATGCTCGAAGAAGACCCCCCACATCCCGACAGAGCAGAGTGGAAACAACGGCACATTGGCCGCGCTATCGACCGTCGCCGATGCACAGCCAGAGCCCTGCTTTGTACGACGGGGACATCGATGCCGTACAAAGGTGCGTCTGCCTGTCGACGCGACGCTATACGATAAGAGGATCGTTTGCCGCGTTTCGGCCCCCCTCTGTCCGGCAGACCCAACGCCCTCGCTCCCAGCTCAACAAGCCAAATCACAGCCGCATCTGCCCCGCGGATGACAAACTTCAAGCCGCCCGCTCCCATCGCAAGCTCGAACGCTCACGGACATGGTCAAGATCCTTACCGCCGCTGGTCTCGTGGTCGTCGCGCTGGCCATGTCGACCGCCGCCGCTGCCCGCGTCAGTCGGCGCCACTTCGAAGTCGGAGATGGCGATGACGGCGAACACTTCTTCCAACTCGGACAAGCTGGCCAGCTTGTCCCGGTCCAGCCCGATCCGCCCCACTCGGACCGCGATCTCGCTCGCCGCGGCGACGGTGAGGGAGACTGCTAGCTGCCTGCGGGCGGTTCGATATGGACGGGCGGCCGCGTTCCGCACACGAAGCGTGACGCTTACAAAGGTCCGCGCCGCAAGGTGAGGACCAGGGCGACCAGCCTGCCGGACATCGCGTTGCGTTCTCAACCATTGTCCTTTGCCGTTTGGATCCGGTAGCGCCTTCGTGGTTCCCAGGCCTTTTCCTTCTGTCCCCTTTTGTGAGCCGGTGTACCCCTTTGGGTCTGTCTTTTGGGGCACACGGCGCAGCATTCCTTCGATGCGACTTAAGCATCTCGTTGCAACCTGTTCGTCTGAATGAGGATCTGCTCACGCCTCGATCCCTAACGCCCCCGCCCCTCTTGTCGGGATTGTACGCCTGCCCTGACCATAGCATCTCGGAATGCTTCGGAGCTCTCGGCGTCTCCCTGCAGCTTTCAACTCCATAAACATCGGACGCCGCGAGTAACTTGGGCCTCAGAGGCGAAGGCGGACAAAAGTGAGGGCTGAACCTCGCCAATTGAAAGACGCCTGCCCCCACCGGCGACAGAGCGAACGGCCTCGCTGGCCATCCGGCGCCGATGGCTCTCCACATACAGCCACCACTATCCCCAGCCGAGGCACATCGATGTCGTACAAGGTACATCTGCAGGCAGCCGTGACGTGATAAACGCAGCGTTCCTGCATCTCACCGTCCCCTCGTCGTCCAGTTCCAGCGCTCTCCGCACGACCACCCCACCGCATCGCACCGCATCGCACCGCATCGCACCGCATCGCACCGCATCGCACCGCACCGCACCACAGCCCACTCACTGCAGCATAGCGCACACCCTTCAGCAAGACGCAGTTCCACGCCAACCGCACGCCCGCACGCCATGGTCAGGCTCCTAAGCATTGTGTCCCTCGTCGCCGTCGTGCTGGCCACGTCGGCCGTCGCTTCGCCACGCGATGGTCAGGGCGGTCGCCCTATCGCTCCCCTGCACCACAGACGCGACCTGCCTCAAAGCGGCGACTGGGATGGCTACGCCGCTCCTCTGCCCCACAAGCGCGACAAAATTCGCGGCGGCAACTACCGCCCTAGCGCCGGTCCCTTGCACGAAAAGCGCGACCTGCCCCAAGGCAGCGACTATGATCATGGTGTCGCTCCTCTGCGTCAAAAGCGCGAGGCCGGCCAGCTTCCCAGCCCGGTGCTTTACAAGTGAGAGAGGCGAAGACGTGATAGTCGCGGTCCCCTCGCGTGGTTTACATCCGGCCTTGAAACACTTCGGAGGAGACAAGCCCTTCGGGAGTGGCTATCCAGTCGGAATCACCGCTTTGGCCCTCGGGACGCGATCGCGCCTCCACGAGGGCACCGATGCTCCACCTTCCTCCAAATATGTTCTAGATTGTCGCATCCCCTGCGAGCCTTCGTTCCCGAATTGACCGCGTTGCCCTAACATCGAGAAGGCTTTCCACAAGGCTGTGGTAGCGCTTCCGCACTGCTTTGACATCGAGCGTCAGCTGACGAGCCTATCAGCGGGGCCGAGCCGCACCACATTGCAAGGACGGCAGCTGTTCGCCTGCTCGATGCCGGCCATGCCGGTCGGAAGACAGAGGGCCGAATGGAACGCTGCTGACGACCTGCTCGCTCTGTGAGTCCTATGGGCGCAGTAGTTTCTGCAGATCAGGCACAGTCCTCGGCAATCCTACCGGAGCGGCCGTGTTTTAAGCTCCAGCGCACGCAAGTGATGGCCGGATCCAGAAGGACTCTCGCTATCTCGTTGACAGCCTCGAGTGCCCTCAACTACAACGGGTCGCTCGATCCCTGCCAACGCCCCACTTCCGAGAAAAAAGAGGTGGGCGTTCGTTACGCAGTTCACCGTTTCCCACTCGCGCAATCGCACACGCCATGAGATATCGGAAGTGGCGGCAAGACCGCCATCATAAGACCATGCAAAAGCTTCAGCAGTCGACGAGGGGGCAGGAGCGAAGGCATAAAAGGAGCGCGTCACTACCATACAGCCCCTCCTCCTCTGCCACACCAAGCTCGACTCCTATAACTCAACTTGCAACTCGTCGCACGAACCGCTCCCCTCTCCAACGAAAGAACAGGACACGCCTCTCTTTCTCAACGATGGTCAAGGCTTTCGGCATTGCTGGCGTCGTCGCCATCGCGCTGGCCATGTCGGCCGCTGCTGCTCCTATCAGCCGGCTCGACGGCAGCGACATCGGACTCGTGAAGCGCGACTTGCCTCACGGCGGCAACGATGACGAGATCCCTGACCCCGACTATCCGCCTAGGAAGCGCGACTTCGGCGACCCCCATGTCGTTGCTGTTGGAGGAAGCCGCCCGCCGCTGCACAATGACAAGCGCGACTTCGGCGACCCCCATGTCGTTGCTGTTGGAGGAAGCCGCCCGCCGCTTCACAATGACAAGCGCGACTTCGGAGATCCCCATGTCGTTGCTGTTGGAAGAAGCCGCCCGCCGCTTCACAATGACAAGCGCAGCAACGATGGCCACGACGTTATCGTTGGAGGTCGCCCCCCGCTGCAGAACGACAAGCGAACGATCGACGGCGGCGAGCCCCCCATCTCCCCTGCACCCGGTAGTGGTGTTGTGCACGTGAAGCCCGTTTCGCCGGGCGACCAGCACATTGCGAACCCCGGTCAGCACAACCGCTAGGACGCTGCAGGCTTCGACACCCCTCTTCCCGGCCCACACCCAGCCCGCACCTCGTCGAGCGCGGTGACGGTCTCGCCGCGACCTTGCTCGAGTCCTTGTTCGATGTCTCACGGGAATGATGGCGTGTCGACTCAAACTGCCGCTCCAGTGCCGGAGACGTCGCTTCTTGGCGCGTCTGCTCTGTCAACGCCCTTTTTAGCTCGCATTCTGTCTCGTGTTCGCCTGTTCGCGTCCGATAGTTGTCCGACTTTCATGATCCAAACGTTCTTACGACCTCTAGATTCGCGCGGGTGTTGTTCGTACAGAAGCGACGCGCGAGTGACACGACATGCTTTGCCCAGTGCAGGGAAAGGTGAGGGCGCAAGAAGAAGGAAGGGGACGAATCGACGAACAGCCCCGTCCTCGGGCCGAGGCACGGCGCGACGACGTCTGGGCCGAAAGATGGTCGCAAGCCCGTCACGCCGACTCACGTCGAAGTGTGAGCTAGTCGAGCAGCAGCTGTGCAGGCAAGGAGAAGTCGCCGACATAGACTATCTCTCTGCGTGCACCGTCATGCGGCTTGGCCACGGCCCTGAAGACACGAAAGGGAAACGATGGCGGCGCCTGAATGTACGGCGTTTGCCGGTACTTGGGGTGGAAGCTGATAGTGTACCTTGCGCCGTTGGGCCAACCTAGCGCCGGTCCTGACCACTCGATGTCCTTGAGCAGGCGAGACTTCGAAAGGTCCGAGACCGGAAGCGTGTACCAGTCGTAGAGGCGTCGCTGGATCGCCCGAGTGTCTGCAGGTCTGACTGCTGCTTGAGACAGCACATACTCGTCGAGACTGTGGGGCGACACGCCCGCGTACCTTCGGAGCCGGTCGAGGAGCTCGACCTTGATGGCTTCGAACATGGCCTCGTTCCCGTACCTGTAGGTGAGACGGGATCTCCTCGTCTTGATCGCAGGTGCTGCGAGTCTGGCCCCTTGTCGAGTAGGCATGAAATCCGGGGACCGCCGGGGAGGCGACGAAGAGAGATCGGGGCTCGAGTCTTGGACGTCGGTGGACGACAAGTCTTCGCCTGCATTCGAGGCAGATGGGCCGCTATGGCCGGCATCGACGGCTGCAACTGGATACTCGTCCTCTGCGAAGAACTGCTCCAAGAGACGGTCGAATTCATCGTCATCCAAGTATTGCTCGGCGTGTGTAGGCTTTTGCGACGGAGCTCCGCCCGAGCTCAAGGCGGCATGGTAGCTATCAGGTCGATAGTCGTGGTCCGCACGGAGCGACTCGACGCCATGGTCAAGAGCCGGACGTGGAAGACGCTGCGAGGGTGCAGTTTCCTGCAGAGGTGCAGCGGCCGACGTCAGATGCAAGTTGTCGGAATGGAAGGATGCTGCGCCCTGGGCGGACCCATGGAAACTTGCAGCTTCCAGGCTTTGGACGACCCCTCGTGCCACTCCGCCAATCGGTGGAAGACCGGCTGCGCTTTGGAAATAGAGTAGGCAGTGGAGAAGCGGCCAGAGTACAATCAAGGGTCGATGCGGTCGCATGTTCGGGATATGACGCTTGGACTTGCTACGATGACCAGAGGGGTCGAGGTGGATGGAAGGGATTCAGCCGAGCAGGGAGAGGGTCAAGGAAAGGTCGGTTTTGGAACGGGAGTGAATGGTCAATCAAGACCCCAATCGAAGCAATATATACGGCTGGCTCGGGAAGGGCAAGTGCATGAGGCGTCCAGCGCGAAAGCCCACAAAGTCCGGGCAGGACGGCCGGGTGCAGCTGGACCAGGACATGTTCTCTCAGCGGGCGGATGCTCGCCTCGTCCTTCGCTCGGCCCAAGTCACGGACCCTCTTCCGTCCTGGCCGTCTCGTCCGTCGAAGACCTCCGATGGTCGCCTCGCTGTATGTGGCTGGTGTTGCCTCGAACGGGGTCACGCCCCGAAGCCAACGCAGTCAATATAGCCCGGATGCGGGCTCATGACGGCATGAGGGTGGGCGCTTCGGAGATGAGTACGTCGGGGCGTCTATACCTGAAGCCACCAACACCGACACCGTCCGCAGGAAGCTTGCCCGTACGAGCACACTCGAATGGTTCAGAACCCGAAGCAGCCGGGGGAGGCCGTGCGCTGACAAGCTCGCCAGGCATCAGACAGCACCGTCTACACAGTCCTGCGTCCTCTGCGGTGAAAATCCGAGCTCTAGATTGCCCCAAGTGCGGACGTGGAAGAAGGATACATCTGGGAGAACGCTCTACGACGGCGGCCAGCCATGTAGCTCAGGCGCTGGCAGCGACGGGCTCCCTCGGCTTGAGGCCGATCCTGAAGCGGGGCTTGGCGAGCTGGAAGGTGACAAACTGGCGGAAGTCGACGTCCTTCTCGACGGCGTACACGTGGTAGCGGCTGAGCAGGGTGTGGAGAACCATCTTCATCTCGTGCCAGGCGAACTTCCAGCCGATGCAGTTGCGCGGGCCGGTGCCAAAGGGCATGAAGGCGGCCATGTCGGCCGGAGGGGCGCCCTCGGTGTTGCCGTCGAGGAAGCGCTCGGGCCAGAACTTGTGCGGCTGCGGCCAGTACGAGGGCGAGTAGTGGAGCGCGCGGAGCGAGGCAGAGATGGCGGTTCGCGGCGGGATGACGTGGCCCAGGACCACGGTCGACTCGCGCGCGGTGCGGCGGCCGAGCTCGTTGGTCACCGGGTACATGCGCATGCCCTCGTTGATGCAGGCGTCGAGGTAGGGCGTGTCCCTCAGCTCCTCGAAGCCGGCCACGGTCGAGTCGAGCGGCGCCGAGGGGATCGTCTCGTAGAGCTTTTCCAGCTTGTCCGGGTTCTCGAGGAGAGCCTTGAGGATGTAGGTGATGGTGTTGCTCGTCGTCTCGCCGCCGGCGATGAGGAGCTCGACGCATTGGTCCTTGACCTGGATCTCGGTCAGCTTGTCCTTCTGCCCCTTTTGCACCTCGACGCTCGCGTTGACCAGGAACTGGAGGATGTCCTTGCGCTCCTCGGAGCCGTCGGCGTCTTTCTCCTGCGCCGCCCGCTTCTCGGCGAACCGCTCCTCGACCAGCGGGTTGGTCAGCTTGTACACGTTGAGGTCGCGCTTCATGTACTTGTCAAAGGGCCTGCAAAAGAAGCGCACGCCGCCGTCGTGGAGGTACTTGGCCAGCAGGCGGTTGATCTCGACAAAGCGTCGATCGGCCTTTGGGTCGTCGAGGCAGGCGACCAGGTTGAACGACGTGCCGAAGGCCGTCTCGCCGAGGATGTCCTGCCATGGCGGCAGCAGCAGGAGCAGAAAGAGCGGAACGGGTCAGTCAGTGAGGCCCAACGACATGGAGAGATTGAACGAGGGGCAGCCGCGCTCGTCTCACCATGGCGAGGCAGGCGAGATCCTCGTAGACGTTGATCTGAAGCTCGCGGCCCTCCTTGGCCGCCTTCTCGGTCCTCGTCTGGTACGCTTCGAAGAGCTTGGTGGTGGCGTTGTGAAGGAACGGCTCGAGGTTCTTGAGGTACTCGACGGCAAACGCGGGGCTCATGAGCCTCCTCCGCTGGCGGTGGTATTCCTTGTTGGTGGTGGTGAACATGCCGGCCGTCTTGGGGTCGCGCGACAGGGCGGCGTACCAGTTGACCTTGGGCTGGTTCTCCTTGGCCAGCAACTGCTTGATGGCCTCCTTGTCCGAGACGTAGATCTGCCTGCTGCCCAGGCGGAAGATGGGTCCGTAGACGGTGTGCAGGTGGTCGACGTACTTCCACTGCTCTCCGCGGATGTAGTAGTACAGCGCCGGCAGCATCGTCCAGTGCAGCAGCGACGGACCTGGGATCGACGACGTGACGTGAAAGTACTTGGATTTGATGCCCTGCGGAAGAGGGGGAGCGGACGAGATGCGGAAGCGGTCAGACGAGGCTTTCCGCCATCGAGCGCACGGCTCCCGCGGTCGGTGCTCACAAGGATGACCGCGTAGGCGATGCAGGAGAGGAAGGCATTGAACAGCAGCGTCCTTGCGCTCCACGACGAGGTCGACAGGGCGACCTCGCCGGTGTAGAGGGTCGTTCCGTTCATCTTTCGGACGTGGATAGGAACGATGAAGGGGTGTGGGAGAAGAGGTTGGGCTTGGGCGGTCTTCTGACCCGTCGTCGATTGGAGGAGCTCGAGCTGCTATATACGGATCGCTGTCGGCGCCGGGCAATGCAGAGGCAGGGACGCGAAGATGGATCAGGGACCTCTGATCCTGGCCGCGATAGCGCACGGACACAATCTGCCCACGTTGAGCTCCTTGACAGGTCGACGAGGTGCCTGACCGCCGTCCGACTACGACTTTGTGCGGGGCATACCTTTCTATCTGGCTGCATCGCATCCTCGCCGGTCGGCTGGCTGGTCACAGGTATCGCGCCATAACCGGCTCCGACCAGCCTCCCATATCGCAGGCGGCGTCGAGCTCGAGAGGAGCGGGGACCGACATCTGCATGGCTCAAAGGCAAGAAGCTCGAGGCGCGCCTCGCCGTCTTTTCGAAATTTGCCTTCGCGATTCTGGTTTTCAATTTTTTTATTTTTATTTTTGCTGCGGGCGGGGGCGGGCCCGCGATATGCGGTATGCGGACGCGTCGGCCGCTGGATGCTCTCTCGCCGGATCCGCACTCGCCACCACCGCACTCGCTGCGACCACCCAAGCTGCAGCATCGAGCACGATGAAGCTACAGCGAGGCTCGACAGACTTCAGACCTACTCAATCCCGTTGGCCCCGAGGTGTTTGCGGCGCGCCCGCAGATGACGGCATGCTGCCCGCCCGCAGGCTCCACCCATCTCGGCTGGTGCGTCGCCACGCGCCGTGCGAATCGCCCCGCTTCACGGTCGGTCGGCCGCGCGGTGAGCCACGGAGAGTGAATGGGAGACCATGCAGCCTACTGAACGTTCCTTGAGGTGCTTGGAGTGAGAATGCGACATGCCCACCTCATGCTCCGAGGGTCTACCTCGTCAGGCAGAGAGAGGGGTGGCAGCAAAGCGCCGTCATGGTCGACCAGTGTGAAAGCCCCGGGCGTCTGCGCTCTCGCTTTTGCTTCGATTACCGCCTTCACCGCCGGCACCGAGGTATTACAGGAGAGGGAAGAAAGTGAATGACGCCAGGAGATGCTCGAACCGTACCCTTGGGCCGGGCGCCTTTGGAAGCCGAAGCGTGCGGATAAGGGATGCAGCGCCGCCACGCCCATCGAGAGGAAGGTTTTCCGTGACCGGACAGTCACAGCGGCGCCGAAACGGTCTGCGCAGGCTTGGAGGGCATCGTCGACGGCCGGCAGCGCTCCGTGGCTGCCTCGTGTTGCCCTCGCTTGTCGCTCCGAGCGGTCTAACGGCTCTGAGACTGCATAGCCAGGTACGCACGGTGATAGACTGGCTCTCGAGGAGGTTTGAAGCCCGGCTAACTGGCCTCAGGTCGCCGTCATCCGCGCGATGTGCCTCGGCGCCCTTGAGCAGTCTCGCAACCCAAGGCTGCGAATTCAGAGGGAGGCCTTCCAGCAGCAGCTGGTGGGGCCCTGCGTGAGAGAGCAGGGTCGGTCGCCCTGCAGCACGGCGCACCTTCCCCAGCCTCTACGGCGGGTCTGAAGACCTTAAATATAGCCAAGCAAGCCAACACCGGTGCCCACAGCTCCCCTCCCCATCCAGCTGCAGCCCAATCGCGCCCCGACTTTGCACCTGGCCCCGCTCTCTTATCCAACCAAGGAAGACCACATTCGTTCATCGATCATACCCACCGACGACTGGCATTGACCTCCCCGTTACGCGCCTTCTGCTTGCAAATATGGCCCGCAATCCGGCCCTCGCCTCGCCGAGCTCCATGGTGGGGCAGGCGGGCGGCCTGCTCGCCTCGAACCTCTTCAACATGTCGGCCGACCTGTCGTACTCGTACAGCAACTTTAGCGGACACGGCCAGGGCGTCCAGTACGGCTCGATCAAGGCGTCGGCGGCCGCGCCATCGGCTGGCATCGCAGCGACCCAGTCCCGGTCGATGCTGCTCCTGTCGCTCTTCCTCTGCGGCATCGCCATGCTCATGATCCGCTACCCGGACTGCGCCATCGGCTGCGAGCGCCGGACGGACCTCAAGGGACCGCGAGGGCTGCCGCTGCTCGGCAACCTCTTCTGGGCGCTCAAGAACCGAGACCCACTCGGCTACCAGGTGTACGCGCAGAAGAAGTACGGCTACGGCAACACGCACACGCTGCCCGGACTGGGCCGGCTGATCGACATCTCGCGACCGGACTGGATTGAGCACGTGCAAAAGACGCAGTTCAGCGACTACGTCAAGGGCCCCTCGTTCCACGACCAGATGAAGGACGTGCTCGGCGACGGCATCTTTACCTCGGACGGCGAGCGGTGGAAGATGCAGCGCAAGGTGGCCAGCCGCATCTTTAGCGTCTCGTCGTTCAAGCACATAATCACGCGCACCATCCGCGAGGACTGCGCGCTCCTCGAAAAGATTCTCTACGACCACGCCGACAAGGGCGACACGTTCAACATGCAGGAGCTCTTTTTCCGCTTCACCCTCAGCTCGTTTGTCAAGATCGCCTTTAGCCAGGACACGGGCTCGCTCTCCAAGCCCGACCAGCCCGACGAGTTCGGCGAGGCGTTCAACTATGCCCAAAAGGTCCTCGACATGCGCTTCGTCCAGCCGTGGTGGAAGCTCAGCGAAAAGTACAACGAGACCGGCCGGAAGATGCGCGAGTGCCGCAAGATTATCGACAACGTGAGTGCCGGCTGGTGCTGGCCGGGCCGAGTGCCCACATGTGTCCTCGCGCCTTCTCACCGCTTCTTGACTGCCTCTTCCTTCCTCACTCACTGCAGTTCACCGATGAGATTGTCGAGAACCGCCGCAGCCAGGCCGCAGCCAAGGCCGCCGGTCGTCTGCCCGCGTCCGACGGCGGCGAAAACGACGGCCGCAAGGACCTGCTCGACCTGTTCATGGCGCACCGCATGTCGGATGGCAGCGGACTGAGCAACAAGCAGCTCAAGGACACCATCCTCAACCTCCTCATCGCCGGGCGCGACACGACGGCCGAGGCGCTGTCGTGGATGACGTGGCACATCCTCACCAAGCCGTCGCTCTACCGCACCATCCAGGACGAGATCGACACGCTGAGCGACGGCGGCGCCACCAACCACGAGATCGACTACGACGGCTTCGATCGGCTGCACCTCCAGAAGCTCTCTGCGTTCTACGAGACGCTGCGTCTCCACCCGAGCATACCCAAGAACATCCGACGCGCCGTCAACGACGACGTCCTCCCCAACGGCGGTCCGCGCATCCGCAAGGGCGACATCGTCCTCTACTCGGACTGGGCCATGGCGAGGAACCCGGACATCTGGGGCAAGGACGCGTGCGAGTTCCGTCCGGACCGCTGGATCGACTCCGAGTCCAACGGCGACCACGCGGGCGAGGCGACCGAGTCGATCCGCAAGGTGAGCCAATTCAAGGCCCACTTTTTCAACGGCGGCCCGCGCCTCTGCCTCGGCCAGAAGCTGGCCACGTTCGAGGTGACGCAGGTCATCAACTCGATCTTTGGCAAGTTTGACCTCGAGCTCGTCGACCTGGGCGGCAAGAAGTCGACCGGCAGGGACAAGGTGCCCGAGTACCTCAACTCGCTCACGCACCCCATGAAGCGGCCGCTCATGGTCCGCGTCAAGCGTCGTGGTGCCTCTGCGCCGACCGCATAGCATCCGGGGCTCGCCTCGCTGCGACGCTGGGCATACCGCGTCCAGCGTCTCGATCTCGCTATGCTCCCTCTTTCGTCCTCTCGTCCAGTCCCCGTCCTCGCATCTCTCCAGCCTCGCCCCGGTTCCTTCCTTTCATACAATCTGCCGCGGCGCACACTGTCCAGCTACTTTCTCTACTAACACTCTCGGCAATGGAAAACTTCGTCTTATCGATTCCGCCCAGACGCACGTATGCCGACGCCGGCGGCCGGCAGGCAGGTCTCGTCTCGGTGGCGAGCCGAGCCCAAACTTTCATATCGCCCGCTCTGCGATGTCTTCTGCCCTTGACTGCTGCGACAGGAAGTGAGGGCGGTGATCGCATAGCGCTATCCGCCGAAATGGGCTTCGTTCAGACGACATGCAGGAGCGCCTGGCAATTCGACCGCGTTGGGACGCCTTTCCGCCGTCAGGGTAGCCTGCCAGCCTGGAATCGAGTCGAGTGCAGTCGTTGTAGCCCGGTGCTGCCCCCGACTTTCTCTCAGCTGCATGCGTTCATTTGCAGCAGAGAGCAGCGATATACTCGACCCCTGTCCGGGCATAAATGCAATCTCGCGCAGAGCCAATCCGCCCCTCGTCTCCAGCCAGCAGGCTAACCGACGAAAAAGGCCTCCGGCTCCCATGCTCGGTGTCGTCGCGATCGTGATCGTGGAGTCATTAACAGAGCATCGTGTCGCCGGGGAGCATGCCGGGGAGCATGCATGTATGTACAAGGGTCCGTCGCGGTCCTGCTCCTCGCTTTGGCCTCTGCGCATCTTGCGGCGCCGGAAGCTCAGGGCGAGTGGGCATAGTTGAGCGGGTACCTCTCTTCCCACTTTCCGCTACCCCTCATCTCGTCGCGGTCCTTGCCGACGAATGCGACGCTGAGGAGGAGGAGGACGGCGAGGACCTCTTCAACCCACTCGAAGCCGAGGTTCTGCCACACGGTGAAGCTCTTGAGGAAGTCGCGGTGGGCCGTCTTGTAGGTGCCGAAGCCGACGCGGACGAGCATGAGGGGCAGGGCGAGGACGACGCGGACGAGGATCTTGCGGTGGTGCGACGACGAGCGCGGGAAGAGGAAGAGGGTGAAGAGGAAGGCAAAGACGGTGATGACGGCAAAGATGGCGTCGCCGATGGGCGCCTTGGAGTCGAGCTTGCCGTCGGTCGAGGTGCCGTCAAAGACCGAGTCGCTGTTCGAGTAGCCCATGATGAGCAAGACGAGCGCGGCGATGTTGGCGAGGTGCAGCAGGCGGAGCAGGAAGGGCTTCTTGGACTTGGGCGGCTGGTCGGCGTTGTAGACTCCGCTGAGGAAGGAGATGACCGACGAGACGAGGAACGAGTAGCCCAGGCCGCGCAGGATGTAGCCCGTGGTGACCATGTTGGTGTTCTTGTAGTTGTCGTGATAGACGTAGATGAGAATGGCGTTGCCGGCCAGCTTGACTGCGAGGTGCGGAGGGAAAGGAGGACGAGCCCAAGTCAGATCAGCTGGATGCGTGGAGCAGAGTCGAGCCGGGTACACGGCCGCGAGCACGGGCTGCTCTGCTCACCTCCGGTAAAGAGGACGAGGCTGAAGAAGCCCGCTGCGCGACTGAAGCCCTGCTTGAAGGCGGCGGCGACTGCGAGGAGGAAGAGGAGGGCGTAGATGGCCACAAAGACCTCGTCGATGGTCACGCTGACCGGTTGCGACATGGTAGCTGGCTGAGCTGTGATGGTCTGGACGCGGGATGGGCAGAAGGAGGATGACAGGTGGGGGTAATATGGGCTGGTCGCTCGAGTAGTGTTCGTGAAGAGGGGAAGCGGACGAGTCCCCTCTGCCGTCTGTGGCGAGACCGACAGCGAGCCTTATAGGGGGCGAGGCTGACCAGGCGTGACGCTCCCAGGCGGCGGTGTCTAGCCGTACGCTGGGCCCCCGCGACAGCTTGCCGCGACACGGTCCGCTGCGTAGGAGCTGCCGCCGGCGTCGGAGCTGATCCGGCGTTTCTAGAAGCCAGGGAGGGGCGGGCAGTCGGGGCACACGAGCAGCGAGGCAGGCGAGAGACCCTTTGTCCCGTCGTTGCTGCCTTGCTTGTCTGCCTGCCTTTGCAAGCTAGCCGTCGCAGCTGGACCCGCGGGCGGTGCAGGCCAGACGAGGTCCAGCGCGCGGCGTGTTGGCTTGGCTGCCCTGCCGCCGACGCTGGACTGGCTCTACCTCTGCCTCTACGACGCTACTCGCCGGGAAGCTGCCGACACAGGGGGGTGGTGTCACGCCTATCCGCACCGCCTCTCCGTCTGCTGCCGCGAGCTAATCCGTCGGACATCGATATCGGGTGTCCAGGCTTCAGTGTGAGGGGTCAGAGAAAGGCGCGGCACACAGCCCCGTCTGCGAGCGCGCGTGCGGTGTCGGTCCGAGCCGAAATGAGACCGAGCATGAGCTCAACGTACTTGGCGCGGTCGCATATACCGCTCGATGACGGCGGCCAAAGCAAGGTCGCGCCGAGGCAGGCAGCAGGGCAGCTGGCGAGCGAGGCAGGCAGGCAGGCTAGGCAAGGGCTGCGTGCATAGGCCTTATTCTCCGATGCACCTAGCTTGCTGGCTTGACAGCGAGCGTCGCATTGATGCCCGTGCGCCTCGGAAGATCCGACATGGTGCGCTGCTCTGTCCGCGGCTCGACGCCGGCGAAGCAAAGGAGGGGTACGGTCGCCTGGAGATGGCGGAAGAGGCCGGCCACCAGCGCCAGCGAACTTTTGCCTGAGGGGCAGTGCAAGGCGTATCGTCGTCCGACGGCTTTGAAGCGCTGCGATACGGGTCGGGGCAAAGCAAGCAGGGGTCGGCGTAGCGGTGACGGCGAACGGTCAAATGCGAAAGAGAGGTGAAGAGAGAGCGGGATGCGCATACCGGGAACAAGAGGCAGGGGGGCAGGGCAGGGCCAGGCCAGCGCCGCCCGCCGGCAGCCTTCCGCCGGCAGGCTCCACCACGAACGGGCCCCTCGGAACTCGGGACATTGGGGGGCCACCCTTTGGCTGGCCAGGCAGGCAGGACCCTGGCTGGCCACCGCCCGCTTGGCTCTCTCTCTTGGGCGGGCCGGCATGCGGCGTCGAGGGTCGCTGGCTGGCTGGGCATGCCGCCTCTCCCTCTTCCCGCCTTGGGACCATGCCGCTATGCTCCCTCTCGCCCACAATCGAGCATTCAATTTCACGTCCACGTTGCCCGCCATGTCGTACATTCCTACATCAAAGGGTTAAGCCGGCACACGCTCCATAAAGCGCGTCCCGCCCCGTGGCGGGCGTGGCCTCGCCCCCATCCCGACCTCCTCCTGACCCCGCTGTCATCGATACCCCTTCAGGCCCCCTCACCGCAGACGTCGAACACCATGACCATCGACGAGCCAGCCACCTCCGTGCGCATCCTCTCGGTAGAGAGGGTGCTCCCCGCGACCCTCGCCTTCCCCGCACCCTCGGTGCCCGATGCGGTCCCCTTTGACGGCCAGGACCTCGCCATGCCGAGGATGAACATGCACTGCAGCTGGTTCCTCAATGTCCACGACAAGCCCCACCTGGCAGCTGTCAGCTTCGAGCAGATCGCGCAGCAGGTCCGTACCGGCCTCGCAAGCTTCATCGCCCAGTTTCCCGCCGCCACAGGCCAGGCCAAGCTGCACCAGGACGACTCGAGGTGGTGGCTGCACTACAACGGACAGGGCGCGGACCTCCACCTCGCGCAGGTCGATGCTCCCCTTGGCGATACCTGGAAGGGCCTTGGCGCCAAGATGGACGGCGACCTGGCCCCCAGGGGTGTCGTCATCCACAACGACGAGGACTCGCTGTTTGCGGTCAAGCTGACCAGGGTGGGTGGCAGCCGCGCACGCGACGCGAACCTCGACGACGGATCTCGACGACATTGGCGCATCGCTGACCCTTCTCTGCCTGTCCATCGACCCGTGCATCCGCTCTCAGTTTTCTTGCGGCTCCCTGTGCCTCTCGACCAGCACGCATCACTGGCTCGTCGACTTTGTTGGCTACCTCGACCTGATGGACCTCTTTGGCCGCGCCATTGCCGATCCGAGCGTGCGCCTGCCCGCCAGGAACTGGAGCCGCAACATGCTGGACCTCGTCAAGGACACGCCGCCCGCCTCGATCCCCGGCGACGAGTGGTTCAAGGAGCGCACCAAGCAGGCGGTCCCGACCCGCCAGCCGGGCCCCTGCCGCAACCTGCTGCTCCTCTTCACCGCCGACGACCTGGAGCGCCTCAAGCAGGATATGGGCAAGTGGGCTGCTGATGCAGGCGAGGAGTGCGCGCCGCCGCACCAGTGGATCTCGACCAACGACGCCCTCCACGCGCTGCTCTGGTCGAGCATCAGCCGCGTGCGCGGCCTGGAGGGCGACTCGAGGCGCACCCGGCTGCACACGCCGCTCGACGGCCGGATCCATGTGCCGCGCTCGCTGGACAAGGATGCGCCGTACGTCGGCAACGTGCACCCGGCCCACGTGATGAGCGCCCGGGCCGACGAGGTCGTGGTGCCGCGCAGCAAGCTGTTTGAGCTGGCGTGGAGGGTGCGCAACGAGTACACGGCGCCGCTCGACGCGCCGACGATGAGCGCCATTGTGCGCGACCACAACTACGCCGCCGAGGGCTCGCCGCCGGGCTTTGGCTCCGGACGGATGCCCAACCAGTCTGCCATGTTTGGCGATGATGTGACGATCAGCAACGTGGGCAAGATGGACCTGCGCAAGCGGCTCGACTTTGGCCGCGAGCTGGGTGGCAGCCCGAGCAGCATGTGCGTGCTGGGCATCCCTGCGGTGCAGATGGGCCCGCTGACGCTGCGTGCGGCCGACGGCACGGCGCTGATCCTGCCGGCGCCCGAGACGTGGACGAGCTACGAGGCGGCGCTGTCGTCGCGGTCGGGCTCGTACACGGCCGACGAGGTTGCGCGGGGCGAGTGCAAGGGCAAGCCGGGCATGCTGGTGCTGGTCGGCTTGCGGGAGCAGGAAGTCGGCGGATTCCTTGGCGACGAGCTGGTGAGCCAGTTCTGCCACTGCCTGTAGCGCGCGCGGCGGTGATGTGATGCGTGGACGGCGATCCGAATAAAGCCTAAGCTCAGGCTGGCCTGGCAGCGGTATGCGAACCACGTGGGCTGCTGGCTTGATGTGACGACGATCCCGAGGGCCGAGCGAGGCCTGGCAGTTGTGTTCCGAGGTCGTTCCACGGCGACCAGATGCCAAGACTCGGACTCGGTGAGCGCCGAACCGGAGAGGCAGCGACCGCCGCCCAATCCCCGATGGGACAGGACTCTCCAGGCCAGGCTAGGGCGCGTCATCGGCCCACGGGAGAAAGAAAAAGTTTCCGAGGCTCGGAAGACGGGGAGATTCGTGTCCCCCCCCATTTTTTTTTTTATTTTTTTCCCCGCCCGGCCCGGCCCAACCGGTGACTGGTCGGGCCGACTTCTTCCAAAAAAAAATTAGAAAATCGAAATCGCGTGGCCAGAGGGCTGGACCGAGCCCTGGCAGCAAAGGAGGTTGTGGGTTTGCTGGCTAGCAGGCCGCATTGCTCGTACTCGCTCTCTCTGTCCCCTCCCTCTGGCTCCTTCGTCTTGACCTGGCCTAGAAAGGATCCATCGTGGTCTTGGTCTTCAAGTCGGATCGGATCTCGGGATGGTCGGGGTTCAGGGTATGCCGTGTTTGAGACCAAATGACGCTGGCGAGTCGCGCCGTCCCGGTGGTCCAGAGGGAACGAGGGAAGGGGAGAGCAGGGGTCGATCTGTTTGTTGGGGCGCATCCTCGCGGGCTGCAGATTGCTGGTCTGCTGCCGCACCGCGCCGGTCTCTTTGACGCCGAGCTAAGGTCAGTAGAGATGGATCCAGCCGTCAGACAGGGTCCAGCTTCGAGGCTGCTGCCTGCCCGCTGCCACGTTGCTGGGCGCTCGTACATCCCCCTACCGACCCAAGCCCGAGGCAAGGCGGGCTGGGGACTCGGCCATGCTCCGTCCTTGCTTCTTATGTCCGTCCGCGAGGTCGAGAGGGTGGTGTATAAGAAGAGCACGAGTCGACGACGACGACGACGGTGTCCTCGCTCTGCCCGCCTCTTCGTCCCCTCATCGCCCCCCACCCTCCTCCTCCCCCGCCTCACAGATGTACTGGCTCCTCATCCTCCCACTCAGCCTCGTGCTGGGACTGCACTACAAATCCCTCCCCTTTGCATGGCACATCCGTCTATTCTGGATCGCCATCAAGGCGCGGTACCGCACCACCCCCCCGCTCTTCCTCGCCCGCACCTCCCCGCGCATCTCGCGGTCAACACCCCACCTCCTCCTCGATAGCCTTCCGATCGGGGTCGACGTGTTCGACGACCGCGTCGTGGAGCACTTTAAGGTCGGCTTCGACGACGGCGACTTCCTCGGCCACCTCAGCAACTCGTGCTACCCCAAGAACCTCGACTACGTACGCATGAGCTATGCCATGCAGCGTCTCCCCGTCTTTGCTAGGGATGGAGGATGGACCGCCCTGGCCGCGATTCAGTTCAAGTTCCTTCGTGAGATCCCCATCGGAAAGCGGTACAGCGTGCGTGTAGGCGTACTCGGCTGGGACGACAAGTGGTTCTGTGAGTGGCCGACCCGTGCTCCCCTCGCTCCCGCCCGCGCTTCTGCGGCTCGGCATGCTGATCCTCAGCACGTCTACATCCCTCGCCCTGCACAGACGTCCGATCCGAGTTCTACACGACCTTGCGCTCCAAGAAGATCGACGAGGATCAGGAGACGATCCACTGCGAAGCGACGTCGCGCCACTGCTTCAAGTACCGCCGCCGCACCATCCCGCCCTGGCTCGTCTTCGCCACTGCGGGCTACTCGCCCCGCTCCAGCGCCGACCGCCGCGTCAACTGGGAAAAGACCGAGGGCGTCCGCCTTTCGCTCGCCAAGAGGTCGCGTGGCGGCAAGGTCAACCTGCTCGATGCGTGGTCCAGGAACGTTGGGACGGAGAGGGAGGAGGAGTGGATGAGGAAAGAGTTTTGGGACCTCGCGGGTTGGGAGGATCGGAGGAAGGTTGCGACTGACGAGATCACACTGTCGATCTAGGTGGCGGCCAAAGGGTGCGCTTCTTGGCATCTATCGGACAGCCGGCGGATAGAGGAATACTAGATCTGAAATTGCAAGGGATGCGAGGAAGCTATGCTGCGACGACCGGGCTCGAGGAGCCGTCTGGGAAGGACCCGAACGGCAGAGCGGGCCAATGCAACAGAGACGGGCGTGGGAGAAGCGGTGCAAACAGACTTGACGAATAAGTTACGGGGGAGCTGGACGGAAACCGTCGCTGGCCAGGATGAGGGGAGGGGAGCGCTTGTGGCCATCGTAGGGCATGGCGGAGACCTTGGCCTCGCAGCCGATCGGACCCGTCCGCTTCCAGAGCGGGCCGTTGAAACGGCAGTTCAAAGCTTGTACCGAGCCTCGCTGGTGCATCGTCCCCATCTGACCAGATCAGGCAACGAGGAGCCTACTCATCCTCGCCGCGGAGCGAGCGGGGCGGAAGGGCAGGAAGTGGGTAACCATCGGAGCTAGGGGGCTGGTCCGAGCTGTGGCCCGAAACCGCGGGTGGGCTAAACTTGCCCGGCGAGCGGCGGAGGATGTCGCTGGAAGCCACCTCGCTTTCATCGTGGAGGCGGCGTCGCGGGGGAAGCGACGGCGGCGGGATGCCGGGAAACTTGGGGAGGGGCACCGGCTCCGGGTTGGGGCCCGAGACCGGATGAGGGCTGAACTTGGTCGGCGAGCGACGGACGATGCCGTCGTCGTTACTGCCACCAATGGGCGCAGCCTGGGCCGACATGGCGAGCGCGACGGCCACCAGGCCAAAGAGGGCAAAGAACTTGACCATTCTTGCTGGAGGAAGAGGAATTCGGCTAGCTGTCTGTTGTGTTCGAAGTCTGGATGTGTTCAGGAGAGGATCGAGGCTGTGGTCGAGTGGATTGGTGGATGGTCTCGTCTTGGAATCGTTCGCGACCCCGCTTTATACCTTTGCAGCCCAGCCCATCACTTCGTTTCATGAATCACCAAACTGCCTTCGTCCCGTCCTGAAAGGATAGACTGCTGCCACCCGACACCTCAAGGCTTGCTCGGCCCCTTTCGAGATCTCCGCCCTTCGAGGTTGCCCTCGACCCCTTTCGAGATCCCCTCCCTCCGAGATCCCCCTATTCTGCGTCCGGACGTTGACGTCCGAAGCGGTCATGAATGGCTGCATCATCCCTGCCCCCCTCCCGATGCTGGTGCTGCCACAATCACAGTGCGACAGCTGTGCTGTTGTTGCGCCAGCCGTCGTAGTCGCTCCAGCGCCAACGAATAGGCATCGCCGGCGCGTGGACGCCATTTTCTGTCGTCAGCGTCCGCGATCCCATAGAGACTAAGGTAGTGGGCCGTGGCCAGCTCGACAACCGGCCATGAGTGGCATCACGTACACACGTACATAGGCGACTCTTACTGTTGTGCCCTAGACGCCTCTTCCGCAGACAGGCCGGCTGTGGGGGCACTTTTGACTCGCCCTTCTGCACCCCCACTTGCACCATGCCGGATAGCGGCACCGTGCCGGACAAAGGGCGGAGAAAGGGTGGGGTGAGCTTGTTCGGGCACGCCGTTCCGAGTGATCAGATCAAGGGTCGGAGCACTGACCCGTGTCGAAGCCCAAGGAACGTACGTATGTTTGTATGTACGTGCATCAGGTACCGGCCCGTGAGTGCGAGCAGAGGCGAGTGTTCGGTACTCTCGTCGACGCGGAGCCGGAGCCAGAAGGCGCGAGCACTGCCGGAACTCGCTCGCCGAAGACGGCCGACTGGGCACACCCGACAGCAGCGGGAGAGAAGTGTCCAGCAGAGCTGACGAGACAAAGGGGAGGCAGGCAGGAGAGAAGGAGCGAAACGGTATGCAAACAGAGCAAGGCTAGTCGTCGGTGTAGGGCAGCCCTCGCCCACATGTCACGCCTACCGAGCACGTGTCGCACCCGTACGAGATCAAAGCTCCCGCCCGGACATGTCCTGCGTCGCCATCGTCGTCAAAGTCTGGCCCATTCCGGCGATGCTTCCTCTCGGTTGGCCCGCATCGTATGGCTGGTCGGCTTCGGGTTCTCGGACGCATTTCGGTCCATGTCTGACGAATTGGGGGGGACTTGCACGCCCCGACGCACCAGTTGCTTCGGGGCAGGTGCTTCGGGGCGTAGTTGTTTGGCCCTTGTGATCACTGATCAAAGAAACGTGAAGAGCTCAAAGACGTCTGATGGGAAGTGGCAAATACATACAAGTGGTCGGACGTGACTTCATGCTGACTTGAAAGCGCCGCGAGCGGATCGTCACGAGGCGGTGGGTCTATTCGGAGCACTTCATACGTGTGATCAACGCTTCTCGGAGCAAACAGTGGGACTCGATGAACGATAAGACGGCTCGACTCATATATATACTTATGACTCTGCAGAGCCTTCAGCACGCTACTGTTCTAAGGATGAAGAGGCTCGACGCCGAATAAGAAGACGAGACCTCATTCCATCTCCCCCCGTCTCCGCGTCCTCTTTTCCTATTCTCGCTTCCTCTCCTCATAGTCCTTGACTGACACGCATAACCCGCCGCTCTCCACGACTCCGCCATGCGCACGCATCGAGGCTGGGCGTCGCCCCAGCTCCTCGTACTTCTGGCAATGGTGCTCTCCTTTGCCGCTCCGATGGACCTTCCCCCCTTTGGCGATGCGGCCAACAACCTCGCTTCAAACTTTGCCAACGTCGGCTGGTCCAGCCTGGCGCAGCAGACGGGGGCACATCCCTCCGAGCGCTTCGTTCAGCACGCTCCCTCGCACATGGGCGGCCCGGCGATGGCCGAGGAGCACGACGACGACTTTTTCCGACGTCTCGACGACTACGACCTGTCGCAACACCAAGATTTGATCGACGAACTCGAAGGCACGACTGGAGGACATGCCAGCGGGTCGTCATACTGGTACCCGGGCCAAGACGCAGGTCACCACGGGATGTCGTACCACCCTCCGTATGTCGGTCAGCCTATCGGGCATCATTTCGGCGGCTCGCACTCGGGGCAAGCGCTACCTTACACCTCGGGAGCTGCTCAAGAGGAGGACGAGGCATTCTACCAGCTCCTCCAAGATTATGATCCCTCGCAGCACCGTGACCTGTTCGACGACAGCCGAGGTATGACTGGAGGACCCACGGGGGGCGCTTCGTCAAGTGAGCCTGCCGAAGGTATGGGCGAGCGCCCATCGTCCGGCTTTCGTCGCCAGCGTGCAGGCAAGGGTCAGGAACCTCGGCAGCCGAGGGGGGCCCGGCGCACTTCAGCCTCGAAGCCAGCCGGGGCCGAAGCGGGCTATGCCGTCTTCGACTTTGCATTCGGCAATCCAGTCATGTACGCCGGGATCAAGCTCGAGTTGCTGGAACGACTGGAACGACTGAGGCCCAACAACGTCGCCACCCTCGCGGAACTCGATGCTCTCATTCCCTCCGTACAAGCCGACGAGTCGATGCGCACACGGGCCATCAAGATGCGGCTCCGCGACGTGTACACGAGGAGGACGGAACTCCGTCAGACCAACACCCGCGCGTCGCCTCTGCTCAAGGACATCGACTGGCCAGGTTACACCGTCAGCTTCCACCTCAACACGGACGCCATGGCAGCGAGGAGGGAGGAGGCAGGCGGGAAACTCTTCTTCCGCATCTTTCGCGCGGTGGCCATCCCTCGAGAGCGCATCGGGAACACAAAGAGCGTGCTGTACATCGCCGACTTTGAAGTGCCCTGGGACTTGACTTGACGATCCTCGAGCTGCCCGGCCACGCTGCGGCTCATTTTTCGCTCTGCAAGAGCGCAGAGAGCAAGTCTATCGCCAGCCCGGATCGGCCGAGCCTCGCCGTGATCGATGGAGAATCAGGGCGCAAAGAGGCACCAAGCGAGTATCGCGTGGTGAGCGGCCGAGGACGGCTGGCTGTAGTAAATGTAATTTCAGCTTGCACGCTTCCCACTACCTTCGAAGGAGTTGGCGGTGCCAACTGACCTGAACTCACACCGCTTCCCTGTCAGATGCTGTGTGAGTTGAGGTGGAACGGTGATCATCTGAACGTGGAAACGTGCTCTTTGTGATCTTATCCTTCCTATCTCCACCTTCGGAGCAAGACTGGACACGGCATGGTATTTGCGCGTTTCGGGGCGGGGCTCTGTGGGCATCAGCGCGCCGTCGGGGAAGGGCCGGTTTCGGGATCTTTCTCCCTTCCGATGAAGATGCCACGTGGTAACCTGCCACTTTTCGGGACCATGACGAGCGCCCCTCTCATCATGGGGCTGCTCGGGCTGCAGCCTGCAAGTCTCGGACGCGTCCAGCGATGTGCAAGACTGCCGGAATCAACTCGGGGCGATGCTTTGGCATTGTTTGGGAAAAGGGTGTGCCGTGGCAATCAACAAGGCCTCATAGCCACCATGTCGAGCGCCACAGGCTCTTTACCGCACGGCGATGGGCGGGGAGGTGGGCACCTCATACATACCTTGACCGAGCTGGTGCCGAACATGATTTTTGATAAGGGCTTCTGGCCCTCACTCGAAGAGACGTCGCTCGTACTTCCGTTGCGGAGCGGATCAGCCGTATATATAGACTCGAGACTGGATGACACTTCGACTCTCGTCAGTCCACACCTCACTCTCCTGCTCCCTTCCGCCCCCTCAGCGCTCACTTCTGTGTCAGACTCGCTACCCCGACCACCCCCTGCCATGCTGCTGCGTCTGCCTTGGGCATCGCTGCAGCTCCTGCCAGTTCTGGCATGGCTGCTGCCCCTGTTGACGGCTGCGATGGAGCCCGAGGGGGGAGCAGCAAGCCGTCTCATGCGAGACCTCGAGGACTTGAGCTGGCTCCAGATCGCGCACGGGACCGGAGGTCTCCCTCGCGAACATCCCTTCTACCAGGGCGCCGAAGAAGGGCTGAACCACGGTCCTCTGAATCAGCGCCTTGCGGACCACGCCCACCTGCAGTTCCCAGACGCACCTCATCAGGCCGAAAGGATGGCTGAAGGACACCACAACAATCCAACTTCCTGGGTCCTGGGCCAGGATTGGGATCCCCACGGCAACCATTACATCCCATACGTGCACCAGCCGACGGAGCACTACGGCGGTCCCTCTGCCGTCGAGGGTGCCGATAGCTCGTCATCCAGCCGCCAAGCAGTAGCCATCGGACACTCAAGCGACGACCAGGCTCTCCAGCGTTCTCTGAAGCGCACTCGGCCGCGGCGTGAGGGCACCTTCACGTACACGTACGGAAACGGACCCATGTACGCAGGGGTCAGGCATATACTGCTGGAGCGACTCAAGAGGCAGGGCAGGCTAGGCGCAGACGCCCCCGTCGAGGCCGTCGACGCGCTCATTCCCTCGGCGCAGGCCCACGCCTCGATGGAGTCGATCGAGCTCCACCGCCGACTGCGCGGCATCTTCCCGATCGTGTCCAAAGATGCCGCCAAGCCCGAATTGATCAAGAACATCCGGTGGTACGACGACGTCATTAGCTTCCACGTCAACAGGGAGGCGACCGAGGCGCTGTACGACCAGCGCAACCCGTTCCGCGTGTTCCGTGCCGTGGCGACTCCAGTCGACGGCGGGAAAAAGATCCTCTACATCGGCGACTTTCAGGTGCCCTGGGCGTTGGCGTAGCAGCTTCGTCCGCTCTCTTGGCCTGAGCCGTACATGTCACCCCATCTCCTCGCTTTACGCCGAATCTAAGAAGACCCGACCGCGTGCTCGTGCACGATACGAACAAGGCCGTCCCAGAAGAGCTTGAGTGCATCTTGGTCGAAGCGACCAGGACACCAGGCGAGTGAGAAGCAGAGACGGCCGTGGAGCGACCAGGCGTGCACGCCGAGCGAGGGCTGGTTGTTCCTCGACGCTACCTCGTACGACTTTACCTGGCTCCAGCCCGCCTCCCCGGCCGCATCGAGGGGTCCGAGCGAGGAGAGAGTCGGGATCGCCGTCGTCGGTCTGCGGGCACCGAGCGATGTGGAAGTAGGCACATGTCAGACGGCTGAGTTGGGGATCAAGGGAGGATGGGTCGACACTCACGTTGCCGCTGCCTGGACCATGGCGATCATGGCGCCGACGTACGTCTCCTGTGCCGCCGGGTCCATGTGCAACGCATCGGCAAAGCTCTTCCTGACCTCGTGCGCCGTCGTCCAGACGTCTCCGTCCCGCCGCACTTCGACAGAGGTAGGTGCGAACGTGGTGGCCATAAACGCTCCGCGCTCCTCGACGGCGAGGCTGGACATGCGTGAAAACAGCATCGCCGGTACCGTGAACCTCTCCGTCGCCGCGATTTCGCCGCCGCGAGGAGGGAGGGAGAGTATGGAGTGGTAGATGGCCGATTGGAGGAAAGAGGATAGCGTCGTGCCGTGTGCCTTGCCTGTCGAGAGGAGTGAGGCGGTTTGGGCGGACGAGAGCGTGTGCAGTCTTCGCCAGCATGACGAAGGTGCTGCGCCTCCCACTGGCTTGGGCAGGACAGGAATTCCGGTCGTTGTCTGTTTGTTTGGGCGATGAAGGTGGGCTCAGCTGTCGTAGAGACGGGACGGTGAGTGGAAGGTGCAGCCGACCGGGCCTACTCACCGGCATCCTGGCGACCGCGGCCATCTCCCCGATCCGTTCAGCGTTGGGCTCTTGGCGTAGCGCAACGGCAAGACAGGGAGGGAGCCTCCCCTCGGTGTCGTCTTTGTCGCCGGTGCTCGAGTCCAGGAGGAGGTCAATGAGGCGGAGAAAGAGCCGCGATACGGCCATAGCATCCGCTAGGGCGTGTCCGTTGGTGATGGCCACCCATGCCACCCTCTCTTCCCGCTGGTCTGCTGGCTGGTCTGCCGACGCGTTGTCGAAGAAGAGCCACAGCTGGAACCGATCAAACCGTCGGCGCTGCAGGCAGACGTCGACCATCTCCGTCGAAGTGCTCTTGGCCTCGTACCTCTCGACCTCGACCCCCTGGCCTGCTCCGCTGTCAGCGACGAGACGTTCACCCTCTCCATCGACGCGACAAGCCGTGACGGGCTCGACCCTTTTGAGCATCGACCATGCCCTTCGCCATTCCTCCACCCCGCATCGGGAGGCGGACGAAGATGCCTCGAGCTGGAAGAGGGAGACCATGTCGAACGCGCCGTCGAGGGAGCGCTGCGCAAAATTCCAGAAGCGCTCCGTACCGGACAGCCGGCGGTGCTGCCCCTCGGCACCGGCTTGCCAGTCGAGTGCGAGTAGAGTGGTCGAGATCGTCATCCTGGATCAGTTGTCGTCGTTGGTTGTGGTTGTCGTCGGTTGTAGTTGTCGTTCGTTGTGATGGTCTTCGGAGAAAGGATGTAGGGGAGGGAGCCGACAGAGAGGAGGCTACTGGGCGGGCGTGAAGGATTCTGGCTGGCTCTTTCTGTTTATGAAGGGAACGGCGCGGCGGAGGGCCCGCCGTTCGACGCGAGCATATCATTATGCTGCCAGTCATCAAGCACGCGGGGCCTGGGATGCGATTCAGCGTGCGGCTGTCGGACGCATAGCGGCTGGAACGCCTCCCTTTCGCCAAATCAGGAGCCAAGCGGACAGACGTGCACTGAACAGCGGGACCGAGGCCAGCTGCGGGCCTCTCTTCTTCGATTGTGGACGCCATGCGATTACGAGGGGCAGGCCGTATGTGGCCTCAGACTGCGGCGTGGTAGCCACGATGCGGGCGAGCTCGATGGTACATGAGATCGAGCAGATATCTGGCGGGATCGAGCTTCAGCAAGCGCTCTCTGGGCGCATCGTAGCGGGGGCAGGATCGCTACTGGATCGGAGCAATGACAATGGTGGCCGTGCTGCGCTTGACCTCCTTCCTCTTGTTCTTCTTTTCGCGCCGCTTTTCCTTGCGCTCCTTCTTGTTCTCCCTCCTGGCCGCCTTGCGCTCCCGCTTCCTCTGCCTGCGCAGCTGCTTGCTCGTCAGACCCTCGGTGTTGGCCGTCGACGAGGGCGCGGCGCTGCCATGTCCTCCGTCCTCGTCGTCGTCGTCGCTGCTATCGCTGCTGTCGCTGTCGTCGTCGCTGCTGTCTTCTGACTTCTGGTCGTCCTTGGCCGGCTTGACGTTGGCCGCGAGGGGCGTGCCAGGCACCGGTTCGCCGGGCTGGCGTGCCGTCAGGCGCTCGTTGCCCTCGACAATGTAGACGTCGAGGCGTCGCGGGATGAAAAAGTTCTGCTGCCAGGTCTCGACGGTCTCTGCGATGACGGGGATCTTCTTGCGCTTCATGCCCTTTTCAATGGCCTTTGTGATAAAGTAGCCGGTGGCGCCGAGGTGCATGGTGACGGGCGCGACGTTGGCAAAGACCGACTGTCCGCCCGAGAGCCGCCCTGCAACGTCGATGTCCTCGAGGAAGCGGGCCCAGTCTGCGGCCGAGACGTCGTGGTCGGCGAGGACGCGGCCCGGGTAGAGGGGCTTGAAGCCGTCGGCGAGCAGCTTGCCCTGGGCCTTGACCGAGATGGGGACAAAGGGCGAGTAGGACCACTGCCCCGAGGGCGGACGCGAAAACGAGGGCGCGGGCGGGTTGAAGATGTCGCCGGGCGAGCGGGCGAAGCGCTGCTTTACGCGCATCTTGAAGGCCTGCTTTGGCAGGGAGAGGAGGAGGGTGTCATCGCGGGTGGCGGCCCAGTCCTTGCTGTGGGCAAAGGGGGAGCCGTAGGCGGCCAGCGCGCGCAGGGCCTGCTCCGGCAAGGCATCTGGACGGTCCTGAGCGCCGCTTGCGGGTACGTGTGCCGGGCCAGACGCCGAGGCAGACGAGGAAGGCGTGGCGGATTGGTGTTGGCGAGGCGGCAGGGAGGGGTGCTGCGGGAAGGGCTGCTGCTGCTGCTGCTGCTGATAGTGCTGCTGAGGCTGCTGATACTGCTGCTGCTGCGGAGGGTATGGCGCCTGCTGCTGGGTATAGTAGGGGTTCTGGTGGTATTGCTGCTGCTGCTGGTGCTGCGGGTGCTGCTGCTGTTGGTACTGCGGGGGAGGGGGTGGGTAGGGTTGCTGCTGGTGGCCGGGTCCGGGCGGGTAGAAGGCGCCGTTGGGCTGGTAGGGGGGCTGCGAGTAGGCCATGATGCGGAGTGGTGGCAAAGGTTGTGGTGGTGGTGGTGATGGTGGTGGCGATGAGGGTGGCGACGCTGTCAAGAGGGCCAGGGGAGCGGCGGCAAAGGGAGGCGAGCTGAGCCGTCAAGCCCCCGTTGGACGGGCTGTCAAGGCTCTTTAACCAGCAGGGCGGCCGGCCAGACGAGCCAGGGCACGGCGAGCTCGGGCCAGGGCCAGGGCCAGGTCAGGCGGGTCGAGCTCGGAGCGACCGACGCAGCTAGAGTGCGGTGAGGTGAGGCAGAGGCAGGTGTACGTGTTGGGCGAGGTGGCCGTCGAGAGCAGAGGCGGTGCCCGCAAATATCTTCGGCCCACTTCCGTCGGGCTGCAAACGATGGAAGCTCAAGCGTTCGCTACGCTAAGTTAGCCTTTCATGCTCCGGACACTGCGCTAGCCGGCCTGCAACGGCCTGGCCTGGCCTGGCCTGACCTGCAGGCCAGGGCCAGACGTACGGTAACGCGCCACGGCTTTGCAGCATGCGAGCGAGCGCACGCACCGTCGGCACAGCCCCGGGCCGTCGCGGGACGGGGCCGGGCGCGCCCAAGAAACAGATAGTTAGACGGGGGTACGTGCGTACTTGGCTGGCTGGGTCAGAGGCTCGCAGAGTCAAGCGAGCTGCTGCGCCTGGAACCTTCACATGCAGCAGCAGCAGCAGCAGCAGCAGCAGCAGCTCCGCGCGTGCGTGCTTGCTTCCATCTGCCGGCAAGAAAGCAAGCTAGGCAAGCAGCAAGCAAGCAACCCGCGCGCTGCTGCTGCTTATCGGATGCATCTCCGCATGCACGCCGGCCGGCGGGTCGGGCGCACGGCGTCTTTTTTCTGATATGCGGGCCAGGGACCGGCGGGGCGGTATGCGGTGACCTCACTCGCACGAGAGCTGGCCCAGAGCCCCGCCCGCAATTGTCAGGGTTGGCCCGCACGGGCCGCTCGGGTGCCTAGCGCATAGCAAGCCCAGCCCGACTTGTTTGCTTGCTTCTTCCTCCTCGACCTGCCACCACCAGCACCGAAGCCGCTGCCGCCACACACCACCATCTCGTACCATCTCCAACCACACCGCCCGTACCACGCGCGCCTCGTAGGCACTTCCATCGCAGCATTGCGTCCGTCGACCTCGCCAAGACCCCTACGCTGCTCGCATCCCGCCCTTCGCCTGGCATCCCGCCCTTCGCCTGGCATCCCGCCCTCCGCCTGCTCACAGCATGCAGCCACCGTGGCACGCAATGAGACCAGCCCAAATGCGGCGGCGATCGTCCCCGCTTGGCTGCGGCCAACTCCAACCTAGACTTCTCCAACATCGGCCATCTACGGCGGTCAAGCTACATAAGCGGCTGAGATGGACACACTCCTCCTCACCATCTCCCAACCCAGCCTCAACTTCCCCCTTCGATTCTCGCAAGCCCCTCCGCAGCCATACCCGCTCCCTTCAACGATCTGCGCACACACACGATGACCGTCCAGTCCCAGTCCCAGTCGCAGGCGGCCGTCGTGCCCCCCTCGCTCCTCGAGCCCATCGACACGGGCGCCACTGCCTCGACCTCGGCCAGCGACCACTCGTTTGACCGCGCAACGGCCACCGTCCCCGTCACGTCCGTCCCCGAGGTCCTCGCCCCCGTTCTGGAGAAGCTCGCGCCTGGAACCAAGCTCTACCGCGGCTACGTCGACCCCGCCTACGGAAGCACGCGCAACATGCCCAACGGCGGCTACATTGCCTCGCTCATCCTCTCGGCGTGCATGCAGCACCAGTCCGCCAGCGGCTCCAAGCACCCGGACCCGCACACCATCACCTACGACTACCTCAAGGCGTGCCGCCCCGCCCAGGATGTCTACGTCGCCTGCCACGCCGCCCCTCGCGGCTCGGGCGGCTACACGACCGTCACCGCCGCCATGTACCAAATCGCCAAGTCCAAGACGGCCGACGCCCCCGCCAAGGCCGTCCAGACCGTCGCGGCCTGGGGCATGTTTGCCGACCAGTCCAAGCAGAAGGGCATGACGACGCTGCCCAAGCACTACGGCGAGGTCGGCAAGGTCGAGGACGTCCCCGTCCCGCACCCGCGCTCCTGGTTCCTGCCGCCGGACCAGGCCATGATCTCGCAGCAGCTCGACCTGCTGGTCCAGCTCGAGACGCAGCGCAGGCCCTACGCCGACTACTTTATCCGCTTCCACCCGACGAGCGTCGGCACCCAGCAGGAGGAGTACTCGGACGACGAGACGCCCCCGTCGTCGCCCAGCGGCCCCACGCGCAAGTGCAAGGGCAGCAAGAAGCTGCCCCTCTACTCGCCCCTCTCCCGCCGCATTGACGCCCTGGCGCTGCCCACGATTGCCGACTTCCGCCGCCCGGCCATGGAGAACGTGCTCAAGAAGGACGCCACCTCGCACTACGACGAGCCCACGCGCACCTACGCCTACCCCACGGTCCAGTTTACGCTGCGCTTCCTCGGCAGCGTGCCCCCCGAGACCGAGTGGGTCCACTCGAGCTGGCGCGAGACGCTCATCAACGGTCGCATCATCTCGGACATCTGCATCGCCGCAGAGGACGGCACCCCTCTCGCCATCGGCCAGATGGACAGCCTCATGTTTGACATGCGGTGGTACAAGATGTGAGCCGACGGCCGGTGGCTGCGGCGCGCGCTTCCCCTTGTCCGCCCCCCTAGTCGTCTTGTCGAGTCTCACCGCTCTGCCCCGAACCCTTTTTTGTCCTTCTCTCGTCGTTCTAGGGATTGATCTTTGTCCACCCCGGTTTCCCCGCTCCGGCTAGTCTTGAGACGCTTTTACCTTCGTCAATGTCATCGTTTTCGGTCCATCCCGTGGTCGCCACCCGCGACGTCCTCTCGCGCCGACTCTGTTTGACGCCACACAGACTCGGGCGAGGGGGAAGGAAATCAAGCCGATGTCGATTCAAAGGGAACTGTCCTTATGGGATCCACAGGCTCGGAGAGAAAAGAGGTGGGAAAGGGGCTGATTGTCCTTTGGTGCAATCGCGGGTGAGGGCGTAGATCGAGTGGGGAGAGCCTAGGAAGAGGGGGGTGGAGGAAGGACTCTGAGATTGTCGGACCAATCTTGAAGTCGCGACGGCATGGGCTTGGGCTTGATGGAAGGGCGACGACGCAGGGCGACGCAAGGGCGACTCCGGGCGGTTTACTTGGCGTAGTCGCACTCGTCCTCGTCCTCGCCACCGCACTGCCATGCGTACCTGTACCTCCTGGCCGTGCCATCGGGAGCGACGTCGACACCCGCACCAGCACCAGCACCGGCACCAGCATCAGCATCAGCACCGGCACCGGCACCGGCCCTGGCACCGACATCGGCACCGACACCGAGGCCGACATTGGCATCGACAGCAGCGGCAGCGTCAAGGCCTGCGTCGGCGCCCAACCCGATACCGCCGAGGGTCCTGCGATCAAGATCGGCGCCCAGACGAGCCCCAGCGTCAACCGCGGTGTCGAGGTCAGCCTTGGCACCAATGCCTGCTCCGACGCCGGCACCCACTCCAGCGCCCACGCCACCACCC